ATATAATTATTGACTGACACTCTACAGATACTCAACAAACAGATGCTTTAAGTATACATGATACAATCTTGCTATTTTACTTCTCATCTGGCATCATGCAGAGAATTCTTTCATTGAACTTTAACCCAGATACATAACTAACAACAATCACACCATTTAAAATCGCACTAACCTGTTCTTTTTGAAATTTGCGAATTGCCTCCAAAGCTTTTATGTATCTAATAAAAATGTGAATTAAGAAAAAGTTAAAATCAACTTCTGCAAAAATCACTTACTCAAATAAGAATTCTAGCTTTACCAGAACATGCTAAATTAACCAACTAAGTATTGTAAGAAAATTCCTACACTTTTATTAAAAGCTAATTTAACTTGCTACAAGACATTTCTTATGTTATCATTTAGAACCATATTAGTAAATTTATTCATTCAATAAAGGTACTCTGTAGACAAGCACATACTTCAACATTGAAAAAATATGCAGTGAATTACATGCACCATAATGATTGAATTTTGCACATGGGTCACTTATTTACTTGTGGTACCTCAAGGGAGAGCCCTTACTGGACACAGGGCACTTATTAGGGAAAGGACAATTATTTCTTTGTAAGAAAAAGCAGAATGTGTGAAATAAAGTTTTTTGTTGATTACCCAAAAATGAACAAAAGCAGAAACTGTAAAAGGACAAATATACACTCAGTAAATATTTTCATCCTAATGAAAGCAAAACAGATTAAAGTCACTCATTAGAATGAGGATGCTTATGAAGTTCAAGTGCTTAATAGAACAGAGGGTGCTACTTAACAAAAACAACTTTAAGGGGGGCATCAAGGGCACTTGATCAAATCATTACCATACTTCACACATTATGTACAGTAATCATGTATACCGTGTGGCAGCAAAGATTTCATCAAATTTTTGTTTGAGCACTTTTCCTTCACTAAGCGGCCTGTAATTAACAGAAATGCATGTTCATGTTTTTCTTATCAGTTATAAGACTCTTGTTCACTAATATGGACAATATGAGGGAATGTGTATAGTTTCTCACAACATACTTACAGTATTAACATGAAAAATGAAACCAATGATAAGCTATTACTAGTACTGTATAATACAACAGGCAAACAAGCCTCCAGTACAAACAAATTAAGTTCTCAGATTAGTAAACTTAAGTGCTTAATGAAACTTACACTGACTTGGGAGGTTTGTGTTTTACTCGAACATGGACAGAAAATAGGTTGGATGGAACAGGCAAAATGTGTGGCATGTAAGAAACTACATATAATTATTGCAGTATTTCCACTTACTAGTAACTCTGATAAAGACTCCTTCAGGATCAATTAATGGACTTAAAAGTTGATGTACAAATTTGATTTAATAAATGTTATTTTTCAGAATAGAAGAAATAATTTATAATAAGATAACTAAAGTAGGAATAACATGACCATTTACAATTTAAGTGAACTTTGGCCACATCTATGGAACAATCCCCTGATAAAAGAGCCAAATGGTCCATTAATATGGAAAATATTATTTCTAAAATCAAAGACTAGAAACAAAAATCAACAAAACAATCTAAGTCTTGCAAAAGTTTACAGTTCAGCTATATCATGGTCCTTTGTGCAACGTCAGTTTTCCTTCACTTTAGTACAAATCTTCAATTTATCAATTTTGTCAATTGCCTACCAGTTAGATTCTTCTTGATGGCAAAAAATCACATTATCCAACACTGCTTTAGATACTCCAAGAAATGAAATCATCTGAAATAGCATGCATAAAAAATCAGCTATTTTGCACTGACTGCATGGTACACAGAACTAATTATCATTTATTCATAATTGAAAAAATGTACTATACTTATAATCTAGTTACTGTAACTTGCCATAAAATGCATAAACATCAAGTGTATACATGCATGTGCTTACCTCTCTGTTGATATCAGCACACTTTGAGCTCAAACTCCGTCTCTAGAACAGGCAATCATGATAGCAGGAAAATTCACTGAGTGTCCATTACAAAATTAAAAAGTTTTTTTTCTATAACTCTTTCAACGAAGAAATTGTGAACAGAGTGCTGTCTAATAATTTGAGTATAAATTTTACCAGGGAGTACAGTGTACATTACCTCTCCATGGACCTCCCTCATGACATTTCCCTCTAAAGTTTTTGTTTCAATCTTTTTACCCTATAATGAAAAAACAAATGCATTAACTTTCACATTTGATTTCAAAACACAAGACTACTATCAAATGCCAGTGATGGTACTGTGGGTGTCTCAAAATTGTTTGAAGAGAGCATAATCCATCTTCAAACTTGTGTAATGTTGATAAATATCCTAAGTGTACATACTTTTTGCAGTGAAACCAATGTACGGGTTACAACAATAGGACTACCAGTGACGTCCCTGAATTTCAGTTTTATTTGCCCACGTACTTCTTGTTCACCTGCAACCTTAGTTAGGAAAACAAAAATTGAACCATGACAGCTCTTACATGAAAGGTGGAAATTTTTATAGGTAATGTGTTTTGACAAGTCTTTGAATTAGCATGGAAAATTATTTATAAATGGAAAACCATATAACAGAGTCATGTAATGTTACATTATATCAGTTGTAACATTAAAATCAAAAAGGTCTTTGACACAGTAATCAACTTCATGTCTCATATCTAAACACAGCAACCCTAAAGGAACTGAGCAGTGGAAAATGTATAAAGGCAGATACACTCTAAATAAACCAGCTCGTCAATTGGTCCTTTAATCAATATAAAAAGTTCTCCTCAATCTTTCTCCTAGAGGATGGCTACAGATCTGAGTACAGTTTTCTGTTAATTGCACCCGTCTCAGAAAAACAAAGGTTGAATACATTACCTTGGGGTCATGCACAAATAAACTTTGTTTGCTTCCAGGAGGCATGTCCCCTGTGGCCATGTAATTCAGGCATTCAATAACAGACTGTAAAACATAAGACAGCAAAAAGTATTGTAATCAGCTATAATAACAGTTAGGGATCAACTACATTGTTTCAAAAATTTTTGCTAGCTATATTTCCATTAAATTATTTATAGCTGATCAAAATAATACTTTGACTCCCATGAACAACTAGCAACTAATTTCTCCTTACAATACCACTCCTGAATCAAACAATAAGGTCACAAGAGTTCCCCTTTTCTGTGAATGTAAAGAGAACAGGATGGAGAAAATAAGTACTGTTGTTAAGGAGTGAAGGGTGAAAGAAAGTTACCGTCTTCCCTGCTCCATTAGGTCCAACAATCAAAGTTAGTGGCTTCTGAAACTCGATAACACTGGGTTCCATGTGGGAATAACTACGGATTCCCTGAATCTTCATCTTCTCTAATGATGACATCTTGCCTAGAGGTGATTTGCGCAAGACCAGAGGTATGATTGTAGAGCCACACCTAGTTATCTACCAGCAGTCAAGCCTAAAATCAATAACAGCCTGCTTAATGTAAAATGCACATGTTTCTTGTCTATATGTAAATTTTTAAAACTAAAGTATACCTACATTAATAAATAACTGATTAAGTAAATTAGGCTAATGTTTTCAGTAGTAGTGAGTGACATTTTGGAAACCTGAAAGGAAGTCACAACCAGGGAGATGATGATGACTACATCATGGATTCTAAAGACAACTTCCACTGAAGTTGTCAAAATGTCAGCTCCGACATCAATAATTATCTTATTAAGGAGTACATTATATGGGCTCCTGGTGCACATGATTTTCTATGGTACATGTATTTAGTCCACCTTCCTAAGGCCCATCACATGTCAACATGCTTTATATTGAGGAAGAAGAACTCTATGAAATGGCCACATGAATACATGCAAAGAATGAGAGCTGGGTCAGATTCAAAATCACGCCCACTTTTTCAATCTCAATCCCACCCATGTTGAGCAATATGTTTACACTGGTAAATTTATAATCCTACTGCTCAGTAAAATAAATTGCCTCTACTTGCATATGGTTCTGATTTTCCGCTTTAGTAACTAAAACGAACTTGTAAGACACGCAAATCTGAGATCGAAAGATACTCTCACCATTTGTTTCCTTCATTTCTATCTTAAAAATTCTCGTATGCATTCCCACACCTACATCGATCAACCAACAGGCAGGGTGGCCTCACCAGTCAAGGAACAAGGACATTTAACAATTGGTTCATGCTTTTGCATGCACTATCGAGTTATGGAGCACAAGGAAAGTTTGGAGAGCACAAAAGAAGCGTAAGAGTTGCCCAAGGCAATAGCCAAGGGCAACTCTAGCTTCTTGAGTGCTCTCCAAACTTCCCACGTGCTCCATAACTCGATAGTGCACAGCTAGAAGCATGAACCAACTGTTTTATAACATAGCCGGTGGAATTGTGCATCAAATCCGACGCAAAATACAAACAACAATATCAGAAGTGATTGTTCGCGGACTCTCCTTTTCCGTTATTTTTCTCTTTTTTCGCCTCTTTTAAGAACTCTAGCCCAAGGGAAAAGATCGGAAAATTGTCTTCGTTTTGGGACTGGTGGGCCGAGTGTCTGTTTGTATCCATTAATGTCGCGAAATATATTATTTTTCCCCGCGCTAACGATTGCAGACGTATGTAGTGCGTTATGCTGCAAAAAGGAAGTAAACTGATGTTATTCAACGCACCAAAACATTCATGTCGTGTTGAAAAAGGAGAACCAGCTGACTCTTTGCACTGGGAATTGATAATACTATCGGTTTCAGCTGATTCGCGGTTGCGGCACGTCTACATATCGATTGTACGTTTAAGATCGCCTGCGAAAGACACAAACTGCCCATAAATTTTTTTTGTCAATTATGAAACATATAAAACCTTTGCTTACTTCGATGGGTAGTTCCGTCGAGAAACAAAACAAATAGCCTCTTTCTAAATGTACTCTGCAAATTCTCCCGCCATTTTAAAAGTCACTTGAAAGGCGTGGTAACTAAGCAATGACTGGTTACAAAGCTTGTATTTGTTTTGGAGTTATCGTTTTTTGGCTTGTACAGAATGGTACAGAACACAGAGTGTTAAAACAATTCATGAATTCGGAAACTCTGATTTTTTAACCCTTAGCAGTTATTTTCTTAGAATGGACCAGCTATCTGTTGACGGTGCTTCTTCCATGACGGAGAAGAAGAAGAAAAACTATGAAAACCTCTGTCCAGCAGTTGCAATGGTATTGTATTTCAGCAGTTGTAAAGAGTTGATAAAACTTCTTGGTCTTATATCTGCCCTTAAAAAGGACCTACCGCCTCATAGTTCCAACTTAACATTTTTTTGCCCTTTCTTTTTATGTATAGTATGGACCCTGTAATGTGGAAGACTTAGAACCTGGAAAAACCATGAAGTGGTGTACATGCGGACTGAGCAAGAAGCAGCCGTGGTGCGATGGTAAGTAAGTTGGTTCTAAAGAGGGAACTGACGGATGAATGGGCTGACTAAGTCTGATTTTATGTATTTCCAGGCCTAAGGAAAACTCTTTTTTTTGCATGTTATCAACTGTTTACGGGTTAGAAGGTAATATCCAAGATCACCGTGTTTTATCTCTCGTGGTCAGAAATTCGATAAACTTTTAACCAGCTGTTTGGCTAGGGGGACCTGATCCTAATATTTCGGTATAGTTATCTGTATTTATGTTATTCAAGTCAGAAATTCTGTAGAGAAAATTAATATTTTCATCTGAAAAAATGTAAGTTGCTAAGGTTTGGAGAAGCATGCAACAAACATTTACATAATTATATCCTCACTTAAATTTCTAAGGAAAAACTTCACCTAGAGCAACGTAATGATATCTTAGTGACTGGGTGAACCAATTATTGTACTTTAAGACATGCAATTTAATTGATGGAATGAATCAGTATGGTGCAATCTTGTATTTTCATTATCAATCTTTTTTATTTGATATATCTAAAGTTAATAAATTTATTTTTTTAAGGAGCTCACAAGAAAACTGGTTTCAAGTCCCTTAAATGGAAGGTTCCAGATCATCCCCAAAGAATCTATTCTATTTGTAACTGTAAACACACCAAGAATCCACCGCTCTGTGATGCCACTCATGTAAACCTCCCAGCTGTGGTAGAGACAAGGCAAAAGAACTGTGACAGTGCTCATGATGAAGACATGAAGTTATGTACTGGCTGTGGATGGGTACCAAAGTGGTGAAATAAATATTATACCATATATATATCTCAAGAATAAATGCATTTATATTTCTGGATTTAACACTTGTCAAATGGATTTGTAGTATTTTCATCCATAATTAATTAGAAGGAAAGGAGTTATATAGTTCTCTTTAAATCTTTGTTGAACATATTTTAGATAGAACTTATACAAGTAAATAATTGACTGGAACAAAAGTGCACAAAAATTGAATTTTTATCTGAGAATGATATGTCTTGTCAGAATATAATATTATTTTTGCCTCTTTTTGTCCTGGGAATTTATTTGGACAATTATTCTATCATTATATTACAAATCCAACAGTATGAAACAAGGTAGAAAAATTATGGCAAATTTCATGTGGGATTATGAGAAATGCATAACATGAGAGTCTTCTTGAAGAATAAAATATTTTGTAAAATATTTTACATATTGAAAAATTATATATTTTATATATTGGACAAATTAATTATCTGAGAAATATTTGCAGGAGAGCAGAATCTCCAATCAGAATCTCCTATATACAGAACTATTATTTGTTGTATGTAATTACAAATAAAACAAAATAATTTTTAAAATAAAATTAAGAGGAGGAAACTCATCTGAGTGAGGATTTTCAGCAATTAATGGTTTAGGGGTGTGGAAAACAAATGAGAGGGTTATTCTGAAAGCTTTTTTGATTAAGATCTATGAACCAGGATGGGTTCATGGAGACATCTCTTCCAGCAAAGTTGTATCTTTACATCCAGGTGGGATAGTCTTCAAAGGGACTTAAGCCAGTAGTAATGACTGTCACTAATGCTAAGGCCACCTCATGTTGAGGACTATTTTCACTTGGGCAGTCACACCTTGTGGTAAACTATTACCCTCCTGCCCAAACATTTTCTGTTCAAAAGTTTGAAGTGAATAACATTGTGACAAACTGACTTTCTCATAGAAAGAAGGGAATTTTTTTTATTCAGCAATAAACTAGTCAAATGTACATCACTGATACTGTAAAGTGGAAGAGATTACTCAGAAATCACGTTTCCTCATTAAGGTTTCTTGCTTTTTTGTGTTCTGGTTCTTCACCTTCTTCAAAGAATTCTTTTAAAGCTTTAAGAGCTTTGCCTCTGTGTGATATTTCATTTTTGATTTCTGATGGCATTTCTGCATATCTGAAGAAGAAGAATCAAATGAGCACATTTACATGCTCTTTGACAAAGCATGTTCTTAGATCTGTATAATTTTGTCTGATGCATCTTTAATTGCAAAACAGTTAAATTGAATGGCACCAGTCACAGTTTATTAAACACTTGAAGAGGTAAAATGACACACCAAACTTTAAAGGACATTCATTTGTAATTTGAACAAAAAAAAAACTCCCAAATCATGAAATAACAAAAAAATAAAGGTAAGCACAAGGACTATGTGATCACCTTATATAAATACAATCATGAAGTTTCATGAGAAGAACATTGGACACAAGAAATCCCCCATCAAATAAAAAATTTACATTTATTTGTGGCAAAGTCAGGATATGAAAATGTGTGCATCTACACGGTAGCTACACATATAATTTTATGTATAATTTCATTGATTTAAAGTGCGTCTACTTCTGTTGACATCTGACTGCTAGGCGCATTTAATTACTAAAACTTACGTCTGATTAAAGCCATCTGGTTGGAAACATGGATCCCATCCAAAATTCCTTGGACCTCTGGGTTCTACAATTTTTCCCTACATGAATAAAATAACTTGTATAATATAATTCACCAAGAAATGTAAATAGAAACTTCAAGGAGGTCATTCATCATGACATACCATTGTCTTTCCTCTAAATAGTAAAACAGGGTCCTCAAGGTTTCCTGTTGAATATGCAAAAGTACAGAGTGCATATGCAGACTTGTCCTCCCATCCTGTCAGGAGTCTGTGTAGACCTAAAATCAATTTCAAATTAACATAAAATTAGTTTTTGGTTAATCATACAAGAGAGTGTATTTTTAATGCATTGGCTTATATGCTGGAAAAATGAACCTGCTGTAAGATGCAGGGAGGGAGGTTTTTCTTTTGTATGTTTAACTCATTGTTGGCATTAATAGACCAGGACTACCCTTCCCAGCTCAGTCTCTTGTGTGGCCTCTTTTCCAGCATAATTATAAAAATTATACTCTAATCCACTCCTCTTGTGCTTCTTTAAAGGATACAGAGTGTGATAGGGTACAGCTTTATATTTGGTTCATTGGTTATTAATATAACAGCTATAAGTTGCATTAAAACAACACCAGTCTTACAAAAATAAAAATTAATGTCTTGTTAGTGGTTACAGAAATTGGAAATCTTTCAATGTTCAATCATTACAACAATAGAAGTCTATTAATAGTACCTTCAGGTCCTAATTTCTTTAAGAACCACTTCCTAAAAAAAGGGGAAAAAGTTTGGTTCAATTATTCTGCATCATCCACTTTTGCAGCTGATTCACAATAAATAAATTAAAAAGTTGTCTTCCAAACTCCACCTTCCCTGAAACCATACACATAACAAGGCTAAATTGTAAGAAATAAAGGCAATTAACTGACTGGTTGCTTCTTTAGGGTCTCTCCCTACCCCCAATAGGCAGTGGAAGGAATTACAACTGTCATTACAGGTATATGGTCAGAGAGCACTATCCCCCTTACAAATTGGTGTGTCTGAGAAAACAAAAGCTTTAATAATATATAAACAACATAGTTTTAACTATATGAAAAATATATAGCTAGTATACATACATACATATATATATATATTTTAAGAGGAAAAAAGGATGCAACTACATTTTCCCGACAAGCCTATTTCGTGAATCACTTCAGAAGAGTGAAGCAGTTCACAAAACAGGCTTGTCGGGAAAATGTAGTTGCATCCTTTTTTCCTCTTAAAATATTTATTCCGCTCTGCTTCAACGTATTGAGCACTGTTCCACGTGAAAATTGACTTGCAGACTCCCTATATATATATATAAATATATTTAAAAACATGTCTTCCAACTAGGGTATCTTTGTCACATCATCCATTCAATACATCAGTGTTTACACAAGAATTACTCTATTATACTCACACATAAGGTCCTGGGAGATCTCCTAATGCTGTAAAACATAGACATGTGTCTTCTACTATGACTGGGCCTCCAACCTAGCATAAGGAGATAAATAAGAAGAGAACACCTACAACATAAAATCATCATCCCGGATTTTGTTTGATCGAAAATCTGTGACAATTCAAGATTACCATATCTCTTGAAACTATTCAGTTAAGGAAGTGATAACTAAATGTGTCTCAAACCTCTTTCGCAGCAACTTTGCATTTCTCCTTAGATATCTCGTCTGGTTCACCTTGAAATTCAGGCACTACAGGAATAGGGATATGGGTTGTGTATTTAAAATCATCTTCATTAATCCTTTACTGCCTAGAATCAGTGTGAATATTCTCCATACTGTTCTCTATACATTTCCTATGGGTGTTGACAAGGAGAATATGTTTAACAGTCAAGAACTTCTTTAGTTGGTGATCATTTCCTTTTTTCTCATGACCTTGCACAATTTAGGAATGATATCATGAGGAAAAATTAGATGCCAGTAACTCTTACCAGTTAAAGGGTTAACTGTAAGTACATGTAGGCAATAGATTGAACAGCTGGTTGTCAACAGTGGGTTGCCAGAAAGTACAACTCTCCCTCCCATTTATAGATGAGAAACTAGGAGAAATTGTTTATTCCTACAATACCCCTCTTGTGGTATTCTGATTGTTAGAAAATACACTAGGAACAAAAAATACCGTCGCTGCAGTTGCAATAACAAGAATAAGCCCATGAAAGTGTCACGCACACAGTCAACCACACAATTGGCATTAACTTACGTACTAAACAATCTTTTTAATAGGTAGCTTAAAAAGGTATGTAACTGCACATACTTACAATCTATATTTCTAGACTCCACTTTCCATGGAAATGAGTCCCCTAAGATGGCAACCACCTTAGGAAATGAACGAAACAGAAATCGAGCCAGAATCAGATCAACGAACACTAATATTATTCATAACTCAAAGTAAAACACCTTCTCTCTTGAACTGACGGGGAGATCTACTTTTCTAAGCCTCGATTCTCATCCTAACTCTAACCGCAAAGCAATTACTGATAGCGTGACCGAAGTGTCACGCTATTCAGGATAACGGTAGTGGTTCGATCAAAACGCCTTGATCAAAGTACTGAACGCGCGTACATTCATTGACGATTGTTCTCACGATAGAATTCGAGACATACTATGAAAGGTTGTTCTTCAAATTAATTTCTAATCAGATCGAGTTTATCAACAGTGAATGAGAAGATGAGGCCAGAATAAAGAAATCTACAACATGATTTATTTCACTCTACCTGAAACCCCGGTATTTAAAGGTGATTGATCAAAATTAACAGCAATTTAATAAATAATGCTTATCTGTAAGAAATAATAACAGTAACAATTCTTACCTCTTTTAGTTTGTTTTGATTTCCTGTGACAAATGCTAGCGTTTTCCTCGACATCTTCTCGATGACTACTAAATATCGCTGGTGAGGCGGGAAGGATTAATTCGTTCCCAGTGCCTCTCGTATATTAGCTCATGACATCTTCCAATCAGCGTGATTTCTTGTTTCGGCCATCTCTTCATAACCGCTCCCCGCGAGCTGTTTTCATCGGTAATTCTCGTTTGCCGATCTTCAGTTTCGCTACGGTACCCCCATCTGCTTACAGTTACTTAGCAACCTCATTTTAATTGTTAGAAATAAGCGCTCTTAAGGCTAATTCAAGGATTTATAAACACTTTCATCGTAGCCTACATGGCTGGTGGTTTAGTATGCATTAAAACGACTAGCGAGGAAGCCATGAGAGGTTTTTGACAGAATTCTGGAGCCCATCACGTAATGGGCTCCTGCAGAATTCGAAGTCACCTGATGGAAAATTCTGTTCGAGTATTATCCATTCTCGGCTTTGCCGTAAGTTCCTCGCTTGACGCACACAGAACCGTAAGGCACACACAATAACACCAGCCAACAAGGCCGCTTGATGCCTTGGGAAATGTAATATTCTTGATTTGCAAAATGCAATGGGATTGTTAGTTCATTAATAGGTCGAGCTTTTACCAACTGCCTAAAAAATTTTCATAGCTTTTACTATATTTATATTTCTCATAATATATTTTTAAACGATAAATGAGGAGATGACAGCATGGAGGATTCACCCCGCGCGTTCATTTGAGAAAGAGGATTTGTTACAGATCAGAAATTAAATCAGCTAATTTTGGACTGTAGAGAACCCTCAGAGAGAATTCTCATAGGTTTTAGCAAGAGCTTATAAACTTGGGTATATGTTATCGTTGGACTTCCGAGGAGAAAAAAATCAGAGAACCTCGCGGTATACTGCATATTTTTTCGCATCAATCAAAGTTCACCTTAAGCCGTGAAGATACAAAACCAACGTGCAAGGTCATAAACAATCGCAGTGAGTATTTCCTAGAAAACTAGAAGGCAACTTGCGTGACTTATTGTTAATTTAACTTTGGTGGGTTTTGTATCATAACTCAGCCTATAGTTATATTTCTCCTATAGGACATATAACGTGATGGCATAATAAGCTTCCTAACTGAGCACAAAAGGAGCATTAGCATGGAGATGACCAGAAAGAAATGATTTCGTCGAATGCAATCAATTCGAAAACAAACGTGACTTATCTCTTTCGACCATCTAAATCTTGCGTGACCGTTCATTCAGGGTTTCTGTACGGAAATTTCGGTATCTTTAGGCATACAATTATAAACGACAGTAAATCAGCCACACACAACATCTGAGTTTAAAATTAAATTAAAGAGGGGAACTTTTGTTTTCCCTTTTTGATCCTGGTAACAGTCTAGGAGTTCTGGTAAGTATGGGAGTCCAATATAAGCGGCTATGTGTTTTAATTCGAGTTGGTTAATCGACTACGCGTATAATGAAGTCTCCCATCTTTCTAAGGAAATTTAACCAACAGTTTTCCCTTGGAATGAGAAGTGAAGGCTAAATCTTTTTAGGATAACTGCCTTCCGTATATCCGGGTATTCTCTGAAAGGAAGGTGCTTTTTTTGTTGTTGACAGGTTCACATGTTCGTCGTGACATAAAACAAACAGGAACACGATGAGCAACTTTGAACGTGACAAAGGTTTTGCCACCCGCCAACTGATGGTCACGAACCAAAATATGCCAAGAAAGATTTTAGCTTTGTTAAGAACTAGTGAAAAAGAACTTTAAAATTGTAAAGCAATGAGATCAGTCCTGTGGGTAAATTTCGAAATTTCGAAATTTCTAAACAATGCTCGATTGCCAATCGCCGAAAATCAGACTCGACAGAGTAGCGGAAATAAAATCCAGTGTATGTTCGGCATAAACTTTGATGTTTTTTTTCCATATCTGCAATTTTTTTTTCACCAAGCTCAGTTTACGGGAACTGCATCGGATTTTACGCGAGCCATCACGTTGGCTGATAGATTAAGGATAAAGAAAATAACTGAGTCGAATCGCGTGGAGTACTGGGCATGAAGTAAAATGCAATTATCATCAAAACAAAAAACCGCAAACAAACAAATATGTAAAGCACGGACCAAAACTTTTACAGTGCCAAGGATTTTTATGGAAAAGAGCCAACTTAATGTTGATGCACTTTATATTTTCCGTATAGAGCCGAGCAAAGCTCGAAATCGTGCTTCTTCATAATTCCCTGAATAAACACGGAAGTATTTTACCACGTCCTGGACAGACACGTCCCACAGACATAGTTTTCTGCGGCCCCATTAGCTGCTTTAAGTTTATCAACATCCGGATCTCAAACGCGTGCTTTGATTCGAACCGCTCAAAATGTTGTAGAACTCGATCTGAGTTCCACACTGGCTAAGCTCGCATTGTCAACTGAAAAAAACGTGTAGGCACATATGGAAGAAAATTAAAAACTTTAAGCCGGAATATGAAAAGATAAAAGTCGCGCTTCAGTAAGCGACGTGACTTCTTCACATAGTGTCGTTTAAAATATGTACTTCCTTTATTACTGATTCCCATTTGACCGAATGAGTACTTTGCTATCCGAGGTCACGTGTGGTGTTTATTTCATCTACAAAAAACCTCGATGAATATTGATACTCTCAGTTGTAAGCAGAACTTTATGAAAATGTATTAGCTCGCAGGTCGATAGCCGCCGGGTTTGAAACCTATCTCAATCTGTTCAAGTCGTGACATGCAATAGTTGAAATTGCTACCTTCACTCTGAAGACTGTTTTTGTCGCGTAATTCAGCTTTATTGATAACAAGTTTGCTGTTTGCCTCTGAACACTCGATCACAGGGAACTATAACACTTCGTTCGACTAGCCGACCTTCTACTGCTTTTTGTAATCGTCTCGTTAACATACCAACTTCGGTAGCAAACAAAGGCGACGCACGTAGAATCCTGAGAGGTAATCAAATTTTCTTACTATTATTTTTATCATTTTATAAAAGAATACACAAATTAACTCTGAACTTCTTAATTCGTATCTATTTGAAGAATTGAGCGATTTTAGGCTGGCTAACTCTGCGAGTGAGGCAAGGTGAGCAAACCAGTTCAAAGTTGCTCTTCTCTATAGAGGAGTGTTCGCTTACCTTTCGTCCATGACGACATAAATTTCACAACAGAATATATTAAAATTCAATGCATAACAAACCTTGATACTCAGAGAGTATGTAATGGTGCTGTTTACGATTTCATACCGAAAATCAGTATTCGTATGAGTTTGACAGTTTTCTTACATATAATTTTTACATGACTTTTTCTCTGTATCTATGTGTAATTACAGGGGTATTCCTTTAAAGTTAGCGTGACCGAATCTCAACATGATCACGCAGAAGAATTTATTTGCCTCATCTCTTCGAGGAATTCTTCTGTTCCTGACTTGGCAAACTATCAGTTATAAAGGTAATTATTTTTTTGTTTCTGTCAGAAGTATATTGAATAGAACTGAACAAATTATATTCGCTGAGGTAGACAAAAAGGTGGAAATATTCTTTCATAACGGGATCATTGTATGACCAAACTTTAACATTGTCTCAATTCCGTCTCATCGATCATTCAGCGCATAATTATTAGAAACAAAGAAATTAAGATTGCCAATCTTCAGAACTACATCGTTTAATTTTTTTTTCGGGGGGCTTGGCATAATGTTGATACAGTTCCACTCGCGAGAGGCTTTCAATCGTTCAGTTTGATAAATGATAGGTTTGTTTGTCGCTAGTAAATTGCGGTTTTGCATGATCTGTTCAGGATTGGTGAAGTGCCCATCAAAACTCAACCCCCGCGTAAAATAAATTTGCCTTACTTCCTGATTTCTACTAGACATGCTAGACAGTTCCTCGAAATATCGTGGTATAATATAACTAGTTAATCACCAAAGTGTCAAGACGGCACGCTTGGTAGTTGAAATTCTTTTCATCTAAATCTTCGCAATTCTTCATTAACAATTTTTATTGAGCGAAGGAGACTAACAACTTCCTTAAAGAACCGTGCGCTTTAAGGAACACTAACAATAAAACTACATCATTCTTATTTACGTTACTTCCACTTCGACTGGCACCATTGATACAACAATACCAAAGGATGCTGTAATTAGTCCTGTAATCCGCTAATTAATTTGTGTGATTGAGAATGGCAAAAAATAGCAACTAGCTGTCAAGTACAGCGTAATTAAGTAATGGAGAAGATCAGCAGGGATGCCTCCGTGTCACGTATCTATCAATCGAATGGAGAGAGAAAAAAAAATTCTGCTCTCGTTCAACCGGCTCACGCATTCAATGTAATATCAACGATTATCAATGAGAAGTCACCGAGTATGCATTCCACCGAGACTGAAACAGGAAACAGCAAGAGGATTTAAGGAAACCTAGTGAGACAGCTCTAATATAAAAATGAAGTAAATAGATTTCCTGTTGAGAATGAAGCCATTCCATGATGTCACGCAAATATTCAACTCTTGGCCTTATCTCATAAGCGACCACTAGTAATTTCAGAGCACTTTTCCATATCAAACCTATCATTTTAAATTACACAGAGGCCGGCAGAATCTCTGGTAAGCGATCAATCTTTAGCGATAAAGGTCTTAACTGTTGGGTAGTTTCTTCTGACTTCTTTTCTCATTTTTCCCTTACTGGTAGGCGTGACATCGACCTCATGCCAATCCCAACCATGTCTGTACTTCAGCAACAGTCGCGCTCTCCAAGCGTTAGATATCAGCTCCTCCAACTTGTACTCAGTCGCACCAAACCTCAACTCTGTTGATGCAGTCGACGTGCACGTGAAACTGAATTTGGTGTACTGGAGCGAGCGTCAGCCAAACGTCATAAAGAGGCTGAACATTACTAGTGGAAAAGTGGAGAACGTGTCAACAGACAGCAACATAGGTCAGATCAAAGGTATTGCGGTGGAGTGGGAGAGTGGACTAATTTATTGGACTGATAACACCAATCGTCGGATCGAAGTAGCGCAGTTGGACGGGAAAAACAGACGGGTCTTGTTTAGTAAAGATATACGAAATCCTCTTGGAATAGTTGTGGACCCAAGAAAAGGGTATGTACCAGCTTTTTATATGATAGAGGGCTCTCCATAGATAAATTGCTACGGATATTATCAAAAGGAGGAAATGCACGGAAGTGGAACTGCCAGCAAGCAAACTGCTTCCTAAAGCACAGAGAAACGTAAACGACCAAGATGCGGTCGATTTTAATTTCTCATCTGATTGGTTGAGATGGCGGTGCGAGTTTTCCGGCTGATTTTATTACAGAGTTCGGTTAAGCAAAACCAGTGCCATCCTGGAGTACTTTTGAAACTCAATTGAAAATTGGTTTATGATAAATTCTGCAGCAAGTTTTTTGATAGGTTCTTTGCAATGCCCTATTTAAAAACAGACGTACAGATATCGTCAGTTGGATTTTATGTTGTTGCAGAGCGTCTAGCTTTGATGTAGAAATTCGTGTGATTCACTTGCGGTACATAGATCGCTTTTGAGTTTTGACGTCATACCCTGACAACGAGTTTTCGAACGCCTGGCCAGCTCAACATAGGTTCTCCAGCCCCATCCCCAAAAGGTGAAGTAATGTTTGACTGTGACACTTCCTCTCGTAGTTCCTGAAGCGTATTCTTGATTCTGCCGGGTTCAAACCTTTAGTCCGCAAGAGTTTTTTCACTAGTTCTTCCACGCCCACTTACATTTCACGTTTTTCTTCATCACTGGTATTGTAGGTACATGTTTTGGTCAAACGGAGGATTTCAAAGTAAAATCGAGAGAGCTTCTTTGGCAGGTGAAAATCGGAAAACCTTGGTCAACCTTGGGAGCTCATATTTTAACGTTCCGGTCGGGATGACCATCGATTTCCAAGCAAACCGTATATATTTTATTAGTCGAGGACTTTTTACCAAAAGGCTGGAAAGCATTGACTTTGATGGAAACACCCGACAACAGTTTACATCCCTCTCATCCATTAGTTATCCTTATGATATTGTATTGCTGAGCGGAGTGTTTTACGTATCTGACGCGAGAGGCAACAAAATCTTCAAGATCGAGAAGTCCACAAAGAGATCTCTGGGAAACTACGCAGGTCTTGGTTTCAGTAATCTTCGAGGGCTTGAGATGTTCTCCTCCTTGCGACAACCTAAAGGTACGATCAATATTCAAGTAATTTGTCTCAACAATTGTGTTAAAAATTTGAACTCAAGTTTGACGTGGGCAAGTTGGACACGCAGTGGCACGTAAGACTGGACTGGGACATTTTGTCTCAACTCTTACAGTGCCTTGCTCTATCTGAAAGGTACAAAGCGATGCCAGCAATCTGACAAAATGACGAATCACTTAATATCATAGTTCCTTAATGCTACAATAATCGCATAGGCTCTGATGCTCTGAGCGATCAGATTCGAGAGTAGACGTTTTTTTGGCAGGCGCTGACCTAGAAGGAGTATGGCTGGTGGAGAAATTTGGGGGAGTATTAGCGTTCAGTGTTAGTTAACACGAAGATGATTTTATCATAAAGCAGGCGGACACATGGCCATGTTAAACTTGCAATTTCCTATATCAAAGCTGGTTATCATCACGTGTTCTCGACCGTTGGACAAAAAATAATATTCATCCTCATGGTGTTATATTTGTTACGGGTATTTTTATGAGTATCGTTTAAAACCTTGTTGTCTCTGGTTCTTTCGTAGGTAGCTCTGCTTGCCACAACAATAGTGGATGCAGCCACCTTTGTCTGCTATCGCCAGCAGGGAGCCAATGCGCATGTCCAATAGGAAGCATTTTAAAGCCTGACGGAAAGACGTGTGATGATTCAGGTAAACAATATAAACCGCCAAGTTGTTGTTTTAGAACAACTGTGCAAGTGTTGAAAAGAAAAGTGCACTGCCAAGTGGGGTGGGCAGGAGGGGGGAAGGGGATAGAAGGCTATTTCTGCATTTAGTTACATTAAAAGATCTTTTTTGGGCAGACTATATTATTTCTAATATTAGTTTTCGAGAACTTGTGAATTTTTGAATGATTACTTATCGTTTATCGTTTCGCAAAAAAATAATGGTTTCGATGTATTTCACACACTTTTTAGCATCCAAACTTCTCCTATTGGCTGATAAGACGCAACGAGGACTCTATCAAATACCATTGGGAGCATCAATTTCAAAGAAGGCCATGGCAATCCCATTAAACAATGTCAGGAGACCTGTGGGGGTTGAATTTGACCCCCTTAATGGCTTCGTCTACTGGTCTGACAGCTTCAGAGACGTAATTTCCCGAGTCCATTTGAATGGCAGCACACAGGAGGAAGTGGTGGATCGTTTGAGAACACCTAATGGCATTGCAATAGACTTCATTGCGAGAAATCTGTATTGGACAGACGAAGGGTCAAACAGAATCGAAGTGTCTCAGTTGGACGGCTCCTTCAGAAAGACTCTTGTGTATAATGATCTTTGGGATCCACTTGACATTGTGCTCGACGTGGAGAAGGGGTAAGGTTAAATATTATCTCTCTTAAATCAGTAAAACTGTGGCTCGTAGAGTTCTGAAATCACTGAAAGAAGACATAGTATTTGATCATTATAAGTAAAAAATCGTCCATTCTTGTAAAACTAAGAGGTGCACCTTAGGTTATATGGCTTATTCTATCAAGTAAGATCTTGAACTACATCTTGCCTGTAGATATCAGTGCATGACCTATGGAGAGAGAAGCTCTTCACTTACCAAGAAAGTCCTTGGCAAACATTTACAGACGTTTGCTTCTGTATTAGTGCGATTTGAGAACTTTAACCCATCAGATAAAATCTACAGCTTGCAACACAGCTTTATTATTGTGGGTAATGAACATCTTTCGATTTATTCACTACTAAGAGCTGTCATGATTTCTTCATCACATGAGAGACAGCTCAATTAAGATGAAAATAAAATTGTCGCCTTTTCCAAGTGAAAGCTTTTGTATAGAAATACCTTTGTTGTAGAGGAAGACTTGGTTTGTTCTAGGCACCTTACGGCTTGCTTTCATCGATGTCCTCAGCACTAGAGAACATGGATAAGTTAACAAGATCAAGAGTAAGGATTGTGTTTTAAAACTGTAATTGTCGCTTTTGCAGATACATGTATTGGAGTCAGGAAGGGAGTTCATCCATCGATACCAAAATAGAACGAGCCGATATGGATGGAATGAACAGAGTTGTCGTCAAAAGCTGGAATTATTACTCTCATACCACTAGGTCTCCAAATGGCCTCGCCCTAGATAAAGAGCAAAATCGTCTGTATTATTTCGACGATTACACAGACCGTATCTACTACGTTTCACTGAGTACTGGCGCCGAAAGCACTCTATTGATCAGACAGGGCAGTCCCAAGGGAACAGTCGTACATGGAAGTTACATTTATTGGACAGAGACACAAGGTCAAAGTGGTGCGGTCTACAGGGCTGATAAGAAATCAGGAGAAAATGTCGAGAGCGTGGTCAGCGGCCTTGTTGGGCCGGAAGATATCTGCGTTTACGACGCAAACGACTCGTTGCTCCAGACAGGTACGTTTCATGCTGGGTTATGAGAAAGCAATAGTGCTTGTATTGAAAAATCTCATGGATACATTTTTAACTTCCCCTATCTTCCGGTCTTGCGTCTGTAGTCTCCTCTTTTACTTAGCTTATCTTATCAATCCTCTTCTCTAACTGTCTTCAAGCACTCTCTCACATGAATCTCCTTTTTATCTCCTATTACAATGGCCTTCTACCTGAAAACATTGAATTTAAGTTTCCCTTGACATGATTTTGTTTTTGTTAAATTGCAGTGAAATCAAATTGTAGCAGGAACAATGGAGGTTGCAGCCATCTTTGTTTGCTCACTCCAGGCGGGCATCGATGTGCATGTCCAAATGAAATGAATTTGAAGCCCGACGGGAAAACTTGTAAGTCAGAAACAAGAAGAAGCGTTGATAGCTACACGAGATGAAAGATATATTTAAAGTGAGATATAAGAGCGCCTCAGCCAAATATATTCTAGGTTTGCAACGCTCAACATAAAACTCGAGACATCCTGTCAGAAATACGCTCATCTTCGCCGATTCTGTATCGCGTCTAATGCAAGAAAATTTGAATTGCATATAACTCGGCATCACAGGTGTAAAATTTTCGCCAAGTATGGTCTCTGTAAATGGTGAAACAAAAACCCTATCTTAGCGATAATGTTTGGGCTAGATAACTGATATTCATCGTATACCATTGCAGGTCATTTTAGCGAGTTTTTACTTTTCGCCGACTCAACAAGGAAGAAGATATACCTGATTAATATCGACAACCAGCATTCACAAGTGGTACCCCTGGAACTAGGTAACCTTCAAGAGCCCGAAGCACTGGACTTTGATCCGCAGACTCACTCCATTTATTGGTCTGACCTGCAGTTCCGTCAAATAGCACGTGCTAATCCTGACGGAAAATCAAAGACGATCATTGTTAACAGCGGTCTCCAACGACCCAGAGGCATTGCAGTTGACTATGCTGGAAGAAATTTGTATTGGACAGACTATGACGGCGAAAGGATTGAAGTCGCAAAACTTGATGGATCACAGAGGAAGGTTTTAATCTCTCGAAATATTGAGAAGCCTGTGGACATTGTGTTAGACTTGAATAACGGGTAAGAAAGATAATACTTCCCAGGATTGGCTTCGTTGTCTTTTCTACTTAAGGCACTTTGGATCAGATTAACTATAGCTACGTTTTGTTTCGAGGTCATTTTGTCGACGATGGCAGCAACCAGCCATGCAGTTGCAAGGATACTTTTAGACTTTAGAGGCTGATGAACATTAATTAAAGCTTGCCTATGCAAGCTTAGTTGCTCACTCCTTAATGCTTTGCACAAATATTTTTATGAAACATGTAACGACAAGGTATTCTTTTTTTCATTTTTTCCAGTCTTATGTACTGGTCGTCGTGGAGTACACAGCCAAAAATAGAGCAAGCATCCATGGACGGAAGTAATAGGAGTACGGTTGTTTTGTTTCAAAGAAGCTGGTGGCATCGTCCCGCAAACCCTAATGGATTAGCTTTGGATCCCGAAACTAGCAGGCTCTTTTGGGTGGACACGACTAAATCTCTGATACAGTACACGGACCTTGGACTTGGCGATGGTTCCATAACCACTCTCCCTGTCCCAAGTTTCTACTTATCAAATGCTTATGGGTTGACTTTGAAAGACAATACACTGTATTGGAGCACCTCTGGATCCATTTATGCGGCAGACAAGAAGACGGGTGGTAACGTGCGTCGTTTAGTAAGGAATATTGCGAGTCCTCGAGATGTTCACGCATATCATAACTATTCAGCAATTCCAGGTAAGAGGAAGAATCAGTTTTAGTTCATTCGAATTTCCTGTCTCAACTTAGTATGCCGAGCCAACTTAGATGACTGTCAACTTAGTATTTTCAACCATTAAAACGAACACACCATATGCCAGTAAATCTCGAAAACTATGATTATTTTGATGTTAAGAGTACTGAAATTATCATTGTACCGCCTTCGTTTTATAGTCAGCTGATTTCTCCACTTGAGCTTCTCATTGCATCAATTCGTAAACTGTTTTAGTAGCCAGATATTGAGAAGTTTCGTTTTTTAGATCGGCCACCTTATCGACATGTATTTCCTTTATTACACCTGAGCGAATCCTTTAAAATTACCTCTCGCTTGATTCTAGCCGATCTTTCTTCCTTGAAAGCTTAATCTTTGCTCTGTTTTCTTTCAGATGACCACCCTTGCTCTCTGTTCAATGGATGGTGCACACATCTTTGTCTGTTAAAACCAGGAGGGTATCAGTGTGCGTGTCCAACTGACACCGGAGATATTCCCTGCAAGACTACACCTGTTATTCCACCTTCGTCCACACTGTCGCTCTCGCCTTCGCGGTCGCCTTCGCGGTCGCCTTCGCCATCCTCGTCGCCATTGTCAATCTCATCCCCACTATCAACAACGTCTTCCACATCTACGCCATCTTCCATGTTAGCTTTTTCAACATCGTCAAAGTCACCACTGCAATCAACTCCTCCATCTCCATCACCACTACCGATGCAAACATCGTCGTTATCGCCGTCACTGTCAGTTTTCAATTTCCCAATTTCATCATCCTCTCTGCCGCTGTCATCGTCATCGATGCCGTCGCTGTCCGTTTCTTCCCCGCAACAGGAACCTGCTTCATCACATACATTATTGAAGCAGCCCTCATCTTCCATCGTATCATTATCACATTCTTCCGTGATATCAACTTTACCACCCCCAGTTGATGCGTGTATTTCAAGACCATGTAAAAATGGCGGTACATGTCTCGAGGGAAACGAGGGTAGCTATACCTGTCGGTGTGCCTTAGGATATACCTGGCCTCATTGTGAGCTCAATATAGGTGAGTGCCAGCTACTGAGAGATTTTAGTCAAAGTAAAGGTCTCCAAGTTTTCTTCAGAGTAAGATAACGATTCTATATTTTATAGGTCACTGGTAGAATTATACTTAAGGATTTTATAAAGACGAGTCCAAAGTGACATTAAAGACATGCAAACTTATTGGAAATTTTTTGATATACAGCCCCCATACGGCTTGTTACGTTGTGATTAGAAAGAAAATATCTCAGTTTACCTAAGTATCAGGTAGAAGGAGAGGATTGAAACGAGGAAATTGGTCAAAACCTCCAGATTTAGTGCCGAGGTAAATCTATGTCATCTATGAGAGTCGTGAAACCCAGGAATCTATGTAATAATTCCTTTCTTTACAAATTTTTCTGTTTGTAGGTGACAATGTCGTGAGTATAGCATTCAAAATGACCACGGCTCAAGTAAGTGTTTTAGAAATCTTCTTTTCCTCACCATGAAACCTTTTAAATCGCGAAAATTGATATCATGTCTGATATGACAATGCCTTTGCACCATTAATTTGAACCCAATAACCCAATACACAGAGGGTCACGCAAATTGAGACTCGTGGAAAAAACTAGCTGGGGTGGCGGATTTTATTCACATAAACAAACCAACAGACACAAAGAAAGAGTAGCAGAAAACGAAAAAAAACTATCTTTGCATAGAGTGTGGAATAATATCTAAGCTGTAAACAAATTTTCATTTTGATTTCATTTTCTTTATTCAAGTGGAACCAAGACACTCTCAGGAAGAGCATTGCAAAAGCATTCACCGAGTACTGCACAAAAGACCAACGCCCATGTAAACTTCGTAAGAGGTATTGGAATTCATCAAAGCTACGTTTATGTAACTTTATAGACCGCATCTCTTACTCTTTAAGAGCACATAATCTTCACGTTTATGAGAGTGAAATAGCATAGGTTATCAATAAGGTAAACTAAACGTTATAGTGATTTAGAATGTTTACTCTCTATACAACGATATTGTGCAGCTTGATGCTCGATGTTACTTCATTGAAACATGGCGATGTAAGATTTGTTATTTACATCAGTTGTTTTAATTCCCTAAATTGTTAGGCTGAACGATATCAGAACCCGATCAACACCGCGCATCGACGATATCAATGTTTTCAGAACCGAGGACGTGTTAGTGCTTGGAAGGCATTTTGAAGGACACCAACGCTTATTCAGCATCGTTCTGGCAGTGTTGGTACCTGAAGAAAAGCAGCGCCAATCATCTCTAAGACAAACCATCTCAGCTGCTACTCTCTGCAAAATGATAGTAAAAACGTCAGAACGTATTTCAGAGTATATGGATAACGTTGAAATAGTCTTAATCAATGGTGAAAAGGAGCCAACTTGTGCGTCTAACCCAGTGGACGATGATGAACAAGAAGGCAAAAACGGACAAATCAGTGGGAATAAAGGAAGAAAAGTTGATAGTCAGCATGAAGAAGGGTTATCTTCTGGTGCTACAGCTGGAATTGTTTTGAGTATCATTTTAGTCATCATTCTCGTGGGTGTTGGCTTCGTCTTAGTGAGGTGAGTGCTTACCTTTCGTGAGTTGGTCGTTGTTTGACTATGAAAAGAAGCCACGAACAAGTAATTCAGAGCTTATGATGCAAGTTTTTCCTTGGCCGGCTTTAGGATAATGCCCTCCTTATAAAGAATGAAAAAATCTAAATTAATCCTATTTTCCATTTAGCATATAAATGGGTCTACAAATGAAAGGATGTGATAGTCCTGATCCCTTTATTTACTTAGTTTTTCAGTAATGATTAAGCGAAATGAGAATTATAAAAATAGTTCATTCATTTTGGTACAAACGTTTGAGCAGCTTTTTAAGGATTTTTAAAAATACAAGATCCTTGTGCACTTCATTAGACCATGACAATAGAATGCTTTATAATCGTTCGATTGACTAAGATATCATTCATGAGACAAAACGGGACAACGTTAGTTATAGGCTCTATAAAATCATCAGTGAGATCGGATATTTCGACTCTGAGGGACTAATTTCGTTTCAAGTGTCATTAAAAGAAAAACTGCAATAATACAGGATTTTTCTGATATTCTCTTTCATTTTTTTATTTTTCCAAAGGTCGCGGGAAAAGGGGTTGAAAATTTTTAGAACTCCTTTCACACTTTCATTTAACAATCCTGGCTTCGAGCCTCATTCCAATCTTCACGACGACAATTCAGGAGGAGTTCCCTTCAGTATTCCAGAGACTTCCGAGCCTTACGAGGTAGTAAAACTTCCATCTTCAATCAGCGAAAGACAGGTTCAGAACCCAGAAACATCTGTTTACGAGCAAGAGTGCGCGAATCCTTTATATCTCGCAAAGAGTAAAGATGGTGATTTCCAAAGCTCAGCTGGCAATCCAATTTATGAGTCCATTAACGGGCACGGGAGTGGGAATCCAAAGGGACCAAGAGCTGAATCTGATTATGGAAGCTTGGCCAAACGAAAATTTCATCCCGATGGCGACCGAAATGAAGAACAACTGTATGCTAAGCCATATAAAATAAAACCTCGTTCGCCCTCTGGGTTTAATTCCCCTGAAGCGCAAAATGGCAACACTTATGCCCAGCTTGGCTTGGGGAGCGTTGTGCAACCTAGCCAAGATAGTGGTTTTGAGCAGCCTGGGTACGCGTCACTCGCTCCCTTCTCTCGAAATATCCACGGAGGCAATGGCAAAGGTGTTAGTTCTCGCAAGGGTATTTCCTCGCAGGATAATTTTTGGCCTCAAAACACTGTGCACCCCCAAAATCCCGAAAGCCAGAACGAAAAACCAGTGAGTCCAAGAAAAGCTTGTTTCCTTGGTTATCCAGCGAGCCGCCTGGCAGATGAGAATTGTTGTAAAGAGCAGTTAAGTAGTAAACAGAAAGTCCGAAGTACAACTTTAAAGGACAAGGAAACGCCTGTCTTACATCTTCCTACTGAGCCTGGTCCTGAAGAGACGATTATCTGAGTATTGTAAAAAATTTACTTCACTACTTTGAAAGACTAAGCGACGAACGCATCAACGAGGAAGACAATGTTTTTAAGCATAGACTCAGACTAGTCTAGAGAAAGTTTATAAGTTGCAAACAATGCCACACCTCTAGTTTTGGCAGTTATTTAGAAAACTGTTTTTGGAATGGAATAAAAAAAGCTATTTTTTAAACTCGCTGAAGAAATAGAGATGTACTTCGTACCAAGAAGAATCGATCCTTAGACCTTCAGATTCCGCGTTCCGATGCTCTGCTTCTGTGGCTATCTTAGCCACAGTGACTTTATGGTGAGCCTGAAGCCTATCATGGAGTATTTCGTTATAAAATTTTATATTCATTTATTAATTAATGTATCACTCAGAAATTTCAGTGCCATTATACCATAGTTTAGTGTCTCGCTTTTGAGGTCGTTCGATGAAGTAGATAATACCAATGATATACTATTAATTATAACTTTAGATTCAGCGGTTCCTGAATCTAACATTTGCATAATTTTGATAGAAAAAATTTGAAAATGATTTTTATTACAGATGCACAGAATAAACTTAAGATATTCCTGATAGGAAAGTAGGTAAAGATTCTTTCAATAGTGTAGCTTGGTTAATCCGCTGCTGCGTGTTACTTATTAGACATTGAATTATCAGCCTTCCAAATTCATTGTACGAACTGTTAATATTAATATTGAAGCGATCACAGGCGTCATTTAAAAGGTAATGAAAAGGTAGTTTAAAGCAATGCAGTCCTAGTTAACATGTTATGTCTAAAATATGTTAGAGGACAGTTTCATGTACATTGAAAATGATCCCAAATACATAAACCGCATCGTATCAGAAACATGATGGTACAATGTTTCCTTCATTGTGATTCATTGACCCACAATGTTGATGTACCTCAACTCTTTGCCAATTTCAGGGTCATTTCCATTTATGATACAACTCAACAGAACTTTTTCTGGAGATATTAAACGATTTTCATCCTGGTGGTTTTCCAGATTCAAAAATACAAAATGAAGTCTGTCTCACCAGGATATCAAATTATATGGAGCGTCATGGTATGAAAAAGCAATTCTGAAATTATTCGACAAGCGATCGAACGAACAAAACAAGACGAAATCAAGGAAAATTCAACTACCACCATATGTCATGTATTTGCAGACTGCCGTAAAGCTGCACGGATCCCTAAGACACTTAGCGAAATTGCCTTTTTTCAGTAGTCGCACAGTAACATAGCATTTTTTTTTACGTAAGGGAAGGGAGGGATATATGTGTTCAACCATGTATGACACAAGCTATAACAAGACAGTTTTAATGGGAGGGAAGGGGTGAGTAGGGCGGTGGAAGTACTCAAGGCATGTTGAACACAATTAAGAAAATGTAAATGCATCAATCACGATGCAGAATTAACTTTCCAAAATTTTTAGAACTGTGCACCACATTCGATAGAACAAAGAAAGCGATTTCCTTGATATAAGCTCTACAACTGTGCTCTAAGAGACAGAAATCTCATCTTGAGCGACAACCAACCACAAAGCGGGAAATATTCAGCTCAGTTTATAGTGATCATACAAACAATTGCTCTCCAAAACTAGATAACCAGCTGTTCGGCTTTTCTTGCGCAGTTGAGATTGTCAGCATTGTCCAATTCCCCTTTTTATAAAGGAAGCTTTAAGAAGTTTAGCTTCCGCGGCATTTATTGCGGAAGTTTTTTGTGGATGCCCACGTTTAAAAGTACTTTCGTTTCTTAATTTAGCCAAAAAAAGCACACCTACAAAGAGAAAAGTTAGAGACGTTTGCCAAGGATAAGCTGTCAGAGTGGAGTGTCCTAAAACCCCTTTCCAGTTGACATTCTTAGCATCTTTGTCGCCATGATTATGAGAGTTTTCCTTTCTCATGTAGCCTGTAGATAGTCAAAATCTGTCATCTTTGTCAGGTTTTGTACAAGAAAGTAAACCTTCCCACGTATATTAATAGGGAGTAGTTTTCATGAAAAACTCCCATATAAGGGCCCATTAAGTTTATATTGTCAAGGAAGACTTCCCGTTGCAAGGGCCTTTGTCAACCACAATGAAACTGAACGTCCAGAGTATTTCTAACTTTTTCATACATTCTTTTCTAATCCACCCGGCTCTTCTTTACCAGCGCTGTCTGAAAACTCTTCATTTCCTTTTTCATTTTCAAACAGTGTTGCTGCTTCCAGTTCTTTTCATTACTTCTTCGTCTTCTTCTCCTTGTTCTTGTTCTTGTTTTTCTTTTTTCATTTACTCTGTGCATGCGCTGACATGTTCATGCTTCCTGATCGCGAAGCATTCGTTACGCAGACGTGAACCATATCATGAAATACAATAAACTGGACAGGGAAACGTGTCTTGCTGTGCGCCATGCAATCTTAAAAAAAGAGAATGGCCACATTACTCAAGTAACCTTCAATGTCATCTTGATCACAGTTCTACAGGTAAAGAGAAATCGATTCGTTCTTTTTTATGAAATCCGTTTGTTATGGCAAGACAGTCAGGGATCATATCTTGCCTTTAATTTTGTTATGTCTCCACAGCTTACGTTTCCTTTGTGATTTGTAGTGTTTCAACTTTTTGGCTATGCAAATTTTGTTATTGACTTCGCGATGAATAATTACGTTTAGCAAGACAGCGAGCCGAAGTAGAGAAATAGAGAAAAGTGGTTATTTAGGAAGTTTCTGTGGCTCGCCTTAAGGTAGGAAAACGTTTAATTTTATGTTCGAGGCGCCTAAATTTTTGACGTACCTCCTCTAAATTTTCCTCCAACTGAATATCCATCAAGGCATTGAAATTATTCTGTTTTAAACGAAGTCTCAACAATCATATCTCATCCGATCGAATCGAATCGAATGCATCTAGTACAATTCTCTATTTCGACTCATCCGCGCTTAAATTTGTGATAAGATTCCGTTATCGATATTGTCAAATTACTAAAGTTGTTTCCGCCACAAATTTTGAAGTCTGCATTATTTTGCATGACAAAGTGTTTTGTTCGCTTAATAACATTCAAACACTTCCTAGCGTTGTAAACAATAGGAGGACTAAAGCGAAAGTAGCCAGCGAATTCCTTCTTGACATATAAGTTTTTCCATATCAACGTCCAAGGTATTTACTACCGAATATTTAATCTATTTATCACGTATATCATATCTAGCTATCTTTGAATTGACTAGGCAATATACTAAGCTTGCACGATTATAAAACGAATAACATCCAAATAGGTACAATATCTGTGATATAAGACTGACAAATACATGGACTCTCCATAGGATCGCTGTATTGCAGTGTGATAGTCACCAAGGAAAGGGGAAACATGCAGCAACAGACTTTTTATAAGCAGTTTCATCCTTTGGTACTTTTGACGTTGGCCGTACTTGTTTCGAGAAATATCGGAGGTGAGTTATTCCAAGTTGAGTTAAAATTTGTTAGACTTAATGTCGATGAGCCCACTGAATTGCAAATGTTTTTTTCCCAATTAAAGTTTCACATTTCAACACCCGGGTTCTCGGGTACGCGGCCGTTTAATTAACGAATTTTGTGTTGTCCTTGCGGCAAGATTTATTCCTCGTGACAAGGGGATAGCGGTAAGAGATAAGAAACACTAAATTACCACATTGGCTCTTCAGGATCAAAGAAGTTCAAAATCTGCAAGAAAGCGACAATAGTTTTATAAACATCGATTTCCTAAAGGCAGTAAATAGACTTTCGAAAGTTCATCGAGACAAAAAGAAATATTCGTACAGTGGATAGAAAAATTGGTAATTTAGAGTTAGCAACTGAGTTGAAAACGTAAATTGACCGTAAAGAGTTTAAAGGCTGACGTTTCGAGCGTTAGCTCTTCGGCAGAGTGATTGAAAAATAGGTCGCTTTAAACTGATGAGCCTACGACTGAGGCAAGCAACATGCACAGTCTGAAAAAGTTTCATCTTCACGCCGAGATCCTTTTATTTGATGCTTGTCAAGCTTACTTTTATCCTGAGAAAATAAGGTCAGTCTTATGATAACTTGAAATCTCGAAACCGTCTCTGTGTAAGCGATTCAGCCGAATGTTATTCAACTGATTCTACCGAATTACGAAGAAAAGAATTACGTTTAGATTTAGTTGTAAACGTTGTAAACAAGAAACTTTTTAAATAGAGATGTCAAGAAATATGCTGAATCACCCTATATTACGTAGGGATCCATGTTGTGTATTGCGGAGCCGACATTGTTTACACGTAAAGCCGACGTCATAAGTTGAGTGGACGATTTTTGTAAACAATCCTCTAACAAAACATTACATAACTAGGGAAAAGTCTAATTGGTTTCTAGCATTGAATGACGCTAAATTTATAGCTTGTCATTAGCCAAATATCGTCATTTCTTTATTTATAATTGATTTGAAAAATTCTGCTTTAACTGAGGAGTTCTCAAATAATATTGAACTGAGAAACTTGGTCGATTTTTTTCATGTCAATTGATGTCATATCATATAAGCAATCCAGGGTTTCAAACGTTTCAAATAGGAATAACGCCGCATACAGCCGTCGGTGCAATGGATAATTAGAATAGAATCGAACATTTATACCAAATAGTGCAATATATCGTTGTAGTCATCTTGAATGAGGAACATGTTATGCAATAATTTATTTTGTTTGTCATGTTAACAATTCAGATATGTAAATGAATATCGGGAAAACAAAGATTTAAAACATCATTATCGATCAAGGATAACAGTTGGCATGGGAATAACTTTCTCAAAGAAAGAAATGTAGATGCAAATGGGAAAGAACGGTGCCAGGCATCTAATTTCTCGAGCTGTGACTGATGCACTCCCTTGCGTAAAAGTGATTTTTGTTTATCTTGCATTTGAGTCACAATTTTCTTAACTCTAGTTTCTATTAAGAATTACGTCAAACGTTCTTGTGCTCCTGAAGAGCTTTTCAAATCTTTATGTCCACGAGGAAATAAAACTTCAAGTTTGGTTTGTTTGAATCAGTCCGTGATAACAAAGTCTAAATATAATAGAAGTTGAACCCACTATTTTATGTAACAATAAGGACTGTGGCTCCTGTTGGGAAGAAAAACAAGTTAAAACAAGTTCCGTCACATCATAGGACATAATAGGTCCTCGTGCTGCTTTGACTATGTAGCCTGGGGCATGATTCCTCGTCAGGTTTATGTAAATTTAGGGCATACTAGCAGCATATTCTACAGTCTTTGTTTAGTATACCTCACACACGTCTGAAATTTGTTTTAAAAATTCGTAGCACTAGCATATCACATTCGAATGGAACTTGTCTCGTATCAAGAAATGGTCCATTGTCATTGGAGAACAACATTGCCTCTGTTATTTTAGATAAAATTTTTCCATAAAGCCTGCACTTGACGAAAAATGTTTAAAAATCTTATGCTGGTAAGGGGTCAAGATATTACCAGGCCTTGAGAATTTATCGAAAAAAAGTTCCAACCATCCGAGGAGTACATTGCGTTTGTGAAAATGCCACTCTTCTTTTAAAAAAAGATTGACTGATTGACTTGATTGACACTAGTGTTTCTGCAACGCAGGTTCGCATGGCTGTCAGAGCGACCCAAGCCTCTACTTCATTGACGATCACAATATCAAATGTGCCACTGTCAAATCTTTGCAACAACCAAACCCTTCCTTTCAAACAGTAGTCACTAAAATTGCTGAAGGAGCAGGGATTGACATTGATGTGCGAAACAGAATGATCTATTGGAGTGACACCACGGCGTGGACGATAAACCGAATGAACTTGACTTCAGGAGAAATAAAAGTCATTGTTAGGCATAATGTAGGAGAGGTTTACTCCCTGGCTGTTGAATGGGAAAGCGGCTTGATCTACTGGACGGATTATATCTATGAGAGAATAGAAGTAGCTAAACTTGATGGGAGCTCCAGGAAAACTCTTGTAACACAAAACGCGCGTTCGCCTGTTGGAATTTCAGTCGATCCAAGAAGTGGGTAGGTAATTATGGTCTCGGAGTCGTGCATTGCTTTTTCTATTCTATCTTTATCCTGAGGAAGTTTTATTGGGTAGTGCAGATGGAAAAATTTGACAAGTTTTTCCGACAAGTTCACCAGTATAAGACGTATTAGTCACGTTTTTGAATAAGGAGGCTGGTTGGGGCAAAGACATCTCTGTAAAGGCAAAAAGCCGCCGATCTCAGTGTTATGAAGAGTTTTGTAAAAGGAGAAGCACTATGCTTACTGAGAACAAACTCAGTTAAAAAATCTGTTGAATTAAAGAAGAAAAAATTTTAACGAATTCGCCTTATTGAACAAGGCTGCCCTCAGGACCTCGTCGAAGAGATCTTAGCCGAATTACAATTCTCATCACGCAACACGCAAACAAAACGAAAACGTTTAGAAAGATTTTGCCGTTCGTTACGACTTTCAACCCTGCTAACAAGAATCTTAAAAAGATTCTTATGAAACAATGGCATCTTATTTAAGGCAACAATTGTTGCTTATCGGAAGGACAGGTCTCTAAAAGATTCTCTTGTTATAGCGCGACTTCCTTCACTTTAATTACAAAACAGCATCGAGGAGTTATAATATTAATTCATAATATGTAGAGAGACTGCGTAATATATCGTAGGTATTTTTTTTTGCAGATACATGGTTTGGGTGGAGCACGATTACGCAACGAGGAAGATAATGCGTGCAGATTTGACAGGCGAAAATCCTCTAGAGTTGCAAAAACTTTTTTATGGCTTGCCTTTATATGTCATTATTAATCACAGCGATAGTCGAGTGTACTGGACCGATATTCATCGTTCATTTACTTTTATTGGGTCAATTGGAATTAACGGAAATCGTTTAAAATATGAGAAATATCTTCATCCAACTTACTTCCCATTTGATTTGGCAATCTCTCAAAATATCTTTTATTGGGCTGACCAGAATTTGCATGGAGTCTCGTGGTTCAATCAGAGTTCGTCTTCCAGTGTGGTGAATCTTCAAAATCTATCTCCTCTTGATTTAATTGGAGTGGCAATATCTGATTCATCAACTCAACCAATAGGTATTTGATAAACATCTTTGAGATGCATGATTTCATAAAGTGTCATGCGGCAGAAACGATTTGAAGTCAGAGTATGAAGAGAGGGTTTAGTCACTATGTGCCTACCTTTTTTAGTTAGTACTGTTAAAATGTCTCTCGAAATCACCATCTGAAGTATATATACTTTTCAAAGCTTCTTGTAGAGACCAGTGGCATAGTTAAGTCCTAAGCAAATTTCATCCACGACCCGCTTTCATTGGCAAGCCCTATTGTTAAAGAAAATTCTAAGTGGCAGTTAAATGACAGAACCTTTTTTCATGGGGGAAAGTTTCCCATTCGACAAAGAAAAATATCAAGGGAACACTCATCAGGGAAATTGATCACTGTAAATGAGTCCTCTTTCAGTGAAAACGGCGCAAATTTATATTCTTCTCTATTTTCAGCGATCCAGGAAAATCCGTGCGTAGTCAATAATGGAAATTGCAGCAATTTGTGCTTGTTAACCCCAGGAAGGGCAAGAAAGTGCGCCTGCCCTGAAGGAATTAAATTAAGGAATGACAGCATCACTTGTGAAAACGGTAAGTGAGTACAACCAAGAAATGACTAAAATGAGAATACAAATGATCATTGATTAAGCTAGGACTAGAGTACCTATTACTGCTGCTGTTTACAGTACTCCACGAAATTATTACAGTTTTAGGGTGTAGACCATAAATCCTACGCTCTAAACTTTTCAACAAATTCATGACGCCAAAAGCGCATAACCTAGGTTATATGCTTTTGATGCCGCTGAATTCATAAAAACTCCCTAAACAGTACTCTGTAGATAAAAAATGAAAGTTTGTGGCCTTATAAAGAAAATCACTTTTACGATATCATGTCACATTTCATGAAATACGTCCAGACGTTCACTCTGAAGTGAAGATTGCGCCTCTAAGTAAAAATGAATACTAACTCAGCCAATGTCTTGAAGTCTAAAACAGCGTATAATGAGAGACAAAGCAGTAGTGAAAAACTGAGAATGGCGACGATAGTTTTTAGGCGAAACGTGAATCATTTCATCATGGCTCTAATGCAAGAATATGTTTGGTTCTGTAGAAACTGCGGCTGCAACACTACCACCGCCCCTTCCAGGTATGTTCTCAATCCTTAGCATATTAAGCACTTTAAATTAAGGTCGTGAATACAATGGTCAAAATATCGCTAGCTTTGCACGAAGTTGCTATCACAGGTGCAGTCCAGGGAGCATTTTGTTATCAAAACAGTAAGAGATTCACATCATTACCGACTGCCATTAATGACTGTATATTCTATAAGTGCAAATCAGAATTGACGGAATTCATTGATGACAAGTGTTCTTCATCACACTTAAAGGAAAATGGTCTTTTTCGTTCAGTTAAGTTTTGATTAAAATATGGTGGAACGAACAGCTCTAAAAAGTTCCATATATACAGGAAGCCAACATAATTAAAAGTTGCTATGAACACTAGGAAGTTAAACGCCACTACTTACAGACTTATGTTGCTTGAACCTCTAGCCATAAAAGTTCGCCTCAGGCCCCTGAGCGCCTCCAAGGAAGGTAAAGGCCGTGTCGAGGTTCTCTATAACGAAGTTTGGGGAACAATTTGTGATGACTACTGGGGTCTCGACGAGGCGCACGTTATCTGTCGCATGTTGAACTATTCGGGAGCACAATTTGCACCCCGGAATGCATTCTTTGGCCGTGGATCAATTTTTATGCCAATTCACTTAGACAATATTAAATGTCGAGGCGACGAGTCGACAATTGCTGCGTGTCGCCATAATGGTTGGGGCCAAAATGATTGCTTACATTCAGAAGATGCCAGTGTGGTATGTTGGACCGACTCGGCTCCTCCTATTCAAGGTATGGAGCCTCTTGTAGTACAGCGTTCTCGCGATGAACAATTCCTCTTTATTGTTTGTTCGTCGTTTAAACGATAGTTGCTATATTTCTGATTTGTAATTGTAACAATAGAATATTTTGATTCACTAGAATTGCAAGAGTGCACCAGGAGTCTCTAACTTCTGTGTTTAGAAATGGCTCAGTTCCTCTTTCATTCACTCCTTTCTTATTGAAACCATGAGAGTTACCAACACCAAGAGGTCTTAATTTCGTAATCCCTCTGTTAAAGTTGTACATTCTGTCTTCCAGTGTGGATAAGGATGCTCATTGCTGAGCTCTGTTCCACAAGAACGATCAAAATGTTCAAGTTCAGCGATCGTATGATAAAAAGCCAAATATTTTATTCCACTTTGCAGAGCCAACTTTGGCCCCTGGACCCTATCCAGGTACTTGTCTCTTTTGAATTTTGAAGTTAGTTGATCACTGTATCTTGTTCCACGTATAACAATGTATGTAAAGTTACGCTGTGTACTATTGAATGGTCTCGTGCCGGCGCCTTCTAGCGAAGGTGATGAAGATGGTGGTAACAACATTGAAGCAATGATACCTTGAAGAAATGAGGAATCAAAAGCGGTCCTTCACTGCGCATAATTTGCTGAAATTAGACCATTGAGTATGATTTTCAAGACTGTATACTTTCGAGATTGATTATTTCGATCAGTTCCTTGCTAAATTCGATCAATCGCTCGAGAGCTAAGGAGGATTCACATTAGGTGATACAGACATGGGTTGGTTAAAGCTAACACTCTCAGTGTAACCCGAATCTTCCCGTAGGGAAGTCCAAAATATCTACTGCGATGTAAATGTAGTATGACGAGTCTTTAGAAATGTATAATTTAATAGTTTTATGATTCCTTGCCTCACTTCAGAACTAAAAGTGCGATTACAAGGTGGAGACAATTATTATAAGGGTAGAGTTGAAATTTACCTGAATGGAACCTGGGGAACAGTATGTGACGACTCTTGGGGAATTGAAGAAGCCAACGTCATTTGCCGAATGCTGAACCACACAGAAGGAGCCGTCAGCACGCAGTGCTGTGGATTCTATAATGGATATGGCGTTTCCGAAAAGATTTGGCTGGATGATGTTCACTGCGTTGGAGATGAAAATAGCATCGCGGAGTGTCGCCATGGCGGCTGGGGAAAACACAACTGCCGTCACTCAGAAGATATAGGGATCGTTTGCAAGCATGCTCCATTATCAACACCAGGTATACCTCGTTTTTCTTTCTTTCTCTTTTTTTCAATTCCCCAGCCACCGTTGCCTGTCTCCCTTCCTTCCCATTTCAAATATTTCTTTAATTACACTTAAGTCCAATATCGGCTCTGTTATACCGAAATTATCGGAAGGACAATTTTAAATCCTGAAATCGCTTGTTTATTTACCGTTTAGCTTCAACTCATCTAATCTGTGCCATGACATTCAGTTAAATTTCTAAGATTAAATTAAGGCTATTTCTTGTCGAGGAATAAGTGGTTGTGCTGTTGACTCTCCTCTCCGGGTAATAGGTGAACGCACAGATGCAAAGAAAATTGAATGGGATAGAAAGAGAGGCAGGGATAACCATGCCCTTAGACGAGTGACACCACCTAGGCACACTTAGCCACTTTGATAACAGAGGGGCTTCTATTCTTTCTCCCTTCGTTTTTATAATATAAGTCTACAGTGTTCATTATTGTTTTCTATCAAGATCAAATTGTGCGACTAGCAGACGGAGCTCGAGAGAGCGAGGGACGTGTGGAAATATTCCATAATGGAGAGTGGGGAACGGTTTGTGATGATCACTGGGATATCAACGATGGAGATGTTGTATGCAAAATGCTAAATTACTCGAGAGCACTGCGAACCCCCAAACAGGCTTTCTTCGGTCCAGGAAATGGTAAAATTTGGCTTGGCAATGTGAAATGTAGCGGGAATGAAACAAGTCTTTTGCAGTGTGGAAACCCGGGTTGGAATGTTGACATTTGTGACCACCACGAAGATGCATCTGTTATATGCGAAACTGAGGCACCACATTTAGGTAAATTAAAAACCCTTTGAGGGTCACATGGTATATGTTGTATAAACCTAATCTACTTAACTTTACAGTTCACCACCCTTTTACACTCTCAGAGTTTTGATTTATTTAACATTTAGCTCTATAGCCTCAACTACTTGATAGGAACTCGAGCAACGAACTTCGGATCGCAAAGAAATTGAACAAAAGGATTAATGAAAGAGTGTTAGTGCAGGTAATCCCACGACATTGTGAGAATTTTTCTACCTTTAAACAAGGTTGTGCAACCAGGGCATTTTTTTAAGGTCAATTTTAGAGGTTTTTTAACCAGGTCACTTTTCGAAGGTCAATTAGATAAAGTAGATTTCGTTCGGAATTAAGAAAATTTCGGAATGAAAAGTAGTCTTGAGAACAGATATGTTTGTAAAATACTACAAGCCCCCCCCCCGATGAAGAAGGTTAAAAGCGACTGTTTTTTTTTTTCTTCAGAATCCAAAAGTTTTATTCTAGCATGTGGACTCGGACGAGAACTTCTTTATCATGTCCCTCTTGATACGAATCTGCCTGAAAAAGGTGTGCCCCTGGCAATAGAGACTAACACTCCACTGGCAGTAACCTTTAACATTGAAGACAACTTGATGTACTGGACAGAACAATCTGGATCTATTCATCGTGCTTATTTGAATGGCAGCTTCAGGGAAGTCTTATTAACAGACCTCATCCGGCCCACGGCTATTGAAATAGACCACGTGGGTAATAACCTATACGTGGCAGATCAAAATGGTGTCACAGTATCGAAGCTTGATGGTTCATATCAGACTCTCCTGATCAACATGACATCTTGTCATGGAATTGCTTTAGACAGCGTAGCAGGGTAAGATTTCTTTTCTTTTTTTTTAATCTTCATTACTTGCACACATATGCATCATAACATTTTCTGCACTCTGACTAAAAGTTTTCCCTTTGAATTTATTTTCCTCAGGTATATATATTTCACTGTGACTGGTATTAGTCCAAGAATATTACGCGCAGACATGGATGGTAAAAATCCGCTTGTTTTGGCCAATGTGTCCTCCATAAGAGGAACCACATTGGACATAGCATTGGACAAGGTCAACAATCGACTTTTTTACTCGGACGAAGGCAACAACATGGTGAAGTATATCAATTTAACCAGTGGAGTGCATCACGCTGTGCTGTACGGTAATCCTCGCAGACCAGTTGGTCTTGCCTTATTCAATGGAACCCTTTACTGGACCGGTGAAGGGACTGTGGAGTTGTTTAGTGGTGGCATCTATAAGGTTAAAGCTGACACTTTAAATGGGGGCATCGTTCGTGAGGTGGTGGACCTTCTTTCGTATCCTAAAGGAATATATGCTCATGACGCCCGAATGAAGATACCAGCAGGTGGGATCTTTATTAAAAAAAGTCTCGCCATAATCATTTTTTGCAACAAAAAAAACAGTTTTAACCTTATGTTCTCTTTTTGTTTTCGTCTCTTATTTTTGTTTTCGATCATTGTCTGCTAAAGTGGGTTTCTTGGCATATGAGAGGAAAACTGATCGATAAAGAAGGGGAGAGAGCAGAGAGGACCAAGAAATAAGCTCACAAGTTACTCCAAAACCAGTCGTGCAGCATGAGAGAATTTGTGTCAGTTGTCTTCTGTAAACATTTTTTTAGAAAATGACTTCAAATGAATGATATCAATCGTAGAAATCGGAATATAATTAAAAAAGAGACTTACACTATCCTTTACGAACCCAGGTTTTACTAAATGCTTTCGACTGTGAGCAAAGAAAGCGTTTCGTTGTGACGCGAAATTTTGTACACGGTACGCATGCAATTGCTTAATTTTGTTTTATTTGATCGAGGTAAAAGTTGTAACAGCTCAGTGCATTAGCATTCGAGTCAAGGTACTACAAAATATTCTGCTTTTGAATTACTTTCTACATTTTTTTTTGCCTTTAGTCGATGATAGTCATCCTTGCGCTAGAAACAATGGCAGCTGTTCCCACCTCTGTTTAATAAACCCAACAGGCCACAGCTGCATCTGTGTCGGAGCAGGTTCATGCCAGACATCTGTCAGCTCATCAGCCTCTATTACAAGCGGTATGAATACGGCAACCGCCATGTCCTACTCATCAACAACTCATGCTACTGCAACATCAGAAATTCATGCTTCAGCCTCAGTTTCTTTATCAATCTCATCTGCGATGTCCTCATCATCATCTTCCATGACCTACCATATGGTGACTGAACACGCACACACAACAACAGTCAACTTTTCCCCTTCACCGGTGGCTCCGACGGCAACACGTGTAAGCCTTACACCTTCCCAAATCCCGTCTGATATCTGTGCATCGCAAAATCCTTGTGAGGATCGAGGTAGCTGCCAAGCTGATGTTATCGAAGGCTACAAATGCGTGTGCTTGGAATATTTTATTGGCCAAGACTGTTCAATAGACATAAGTATGTTATTTAGTTTGGTGGTTAAATAGTTATAGTGTTTGTCTTCCTTTGTAACTGTCATAAGAGGGGGAAGTGATCACGTTGGAGCACAGGTTCGCATATAAAATATATAGGCTTGTTAGGTACGAAACTATGCCTTCAAAGCGTAAAAACAACGACAACTAGTAAAATTACACTCTTACATATTCTTCTTCATTGCCTTTTCATTCCAGTTAAAGTTTTTCTTCCTATTCTTACAACAAGAGATGAAGCAGTTCAGAGTACATGGTGTGATTAACAAACCAAAAAGCGTGGAACAGAAGGGGGGAAGGGGGTGGGCGTGGGAAAGCAGATTTTGTTTGAAATTTGGCAAGTGTTTCATGGAAAGCTTAACCAGTGAGGTCCCTGGAAAAAGGAGTTCAATTCGTCTTTTTGATAAATGTATACAAAGTTTGAATACAAAGTCGCGTATGTCTAGAGCCCTGTCTACATGGTAATTACCTGCAAGAATGCTCTTGTCTGTTATAGAGCGAGAAGAGGAGGTAAAACTTATTGCTTGATATTTTGATTTTTCTCCACAGGTGAAGGAGTGGTGGTCCTTGTCATAAAAATTCAAGGAAATGAGGTAAGGGGGAGAGGTTACTGCTTAATATAGAGGAATCAGTCTCTAGGATTTTACAATAAGAACTAAAAATGCACCCTCTCTCGACATTATTATTATCAGGGAATTAAGAGGAAAGATGTTATCTAATTTATTTCTAAAATTTACTGATTACAATTGTATGTGCTCAAATTATCCAGACAACATAATAACCGATTAAAAACACCTTTCCTTTCGAAATCCTCAAAATGAAAAATTGTATTGCAAGAATAAGCTTACAGAATAATAAATTTAAATTTTCATGAAATTTACTGTAAACGTTTTAATTCCATTCCACAGTTCAACAAAACCGACCTGAAGCAAGTCATCCTTCAAATCTTGAATCGCCTCTGTGAAGATCCCGAAAGCGAACAGTGTCTAATAACAACATCAGGGTAAGCAAATGCTGCTAAAGGCAAACCTATTTCCCCCGAGCAGGCCTGTTCTTTGCTCTGGAATTTCTTGTAGAGTTAACAGTTCAATGTGAACAAGGCCAAACTCATCGACTTTTCAAACTGTGGGCTTTGCTCGTCCATATCCTTTGTTTAACATTCACAAATGCCTCAAAGTTGGAAAACCACTAGTAAACACCACGAAATGATGAGGATATTTAGTATTATCAACTGAGTTGATAACGTAAACTAGCCATCATAAAGAGTTTCAAAGCTGATGTTTCAAGCGTTAACCTTTCGTTAGCCCTTCGTCATTCGCTCTGACGAGGAGCGAACGCCCGAAACGTCAGCTCTGAAACTCTTTAGTGAACAATTTACCTCATAAACTCAGTCGATAATACTAAATTAGCCTGACTTTAAACATATGAAAATCATAAATGTGTGCTGCGGTTGAAGAAATGAATATAGAAGCGATCCTCGCAGTTATGAACACTATTGGACTAGTAGTTGAAATAAGGCCTGAAAAAAAAAAAAAAAAAAAAAAAAAAAAAAAAAAAAAAAAAAGATTCGGGCCCATACGGGATTTGAACCCATGACCCAGCGCTCTACCAACTGAGCTAGCTAGCCAGCTGGGAGCTGGTCATTATGTTGGATCCAAATAAGACCTTAAAGTGGGGAATAATGACTAAATATATGAAAATCATATATGTGTACCGCGGTTGAAGAAACGAATATAGAGGCGATCCTCGTAGTTATGAACACTACTTAACTACCTATTTTAAGTAATAGTTGAAACATTAGAGCCTTATTTCAACTACTAGTTAAGTAGTGTTTATAACTGCAAGGATCGCTTTTATGTTCGTTACTTAATTAGCCTGTTATACTCAGCCACCGACGCAGCATCACAGTTTCTCTAGACACTTACCCCCCTTAACGACCAAACGATCGTTTCACAGATATGTCTGTTAAGCTTAATTTGAGAATCACAACAAAGATCTCCAGTAGCTGCGAAGCTCTAATAGCAAATTGTAAGCTTTATTGAGGTGCCGTTTCCATCTTATAGAGGTGTTAAACTGTGGAGACCTTATAATGTTTTTATTTGCCAATTTCTTAAGCGGGGCAAGAAGAAAACGGGAAGTGCCAAAGGAAACTTTCAGTCACGCAGAGGTCATAGTAAAGGAACCGAAAAAAATCAATGGTAACCTTCAAGTAGAGCTAGCCGTCATCAAACGGATGTCCAATGGTTCAATATCTGTTATATCTGGCGCAAATCTTGCCAGGATAGTAAACGCTTCGGCGGCAGAAATCGGTCATAAACTGGGAGGGACGTTATTAAGTGTCATGTCGAAATTCCCTGGACCAACAGCTCAGGCTACACAGTCTACCATGCCGGTTGATAATTCCACGACAATAACACAAAAACAACCCCAGGATAGCACGACAGTACCTGGAACAACGACCGGTCAGGTACCAGCTGGTCCGGGTTCTGCAGCTGCCAATAAGGGAGGAGGAGACAACGGTGGAGTTATCGGCGGTGTGGTGGTAGCCTCCCTTGTTATCATTATCTTGGTTATCGCACTGGCGGTCTGGTATTTCAGGTAATAAACTTTGATTCATGATTTCCTTAATTCATACTAGCAAAGATTAAAAAAACCAAAACCCTCCATGGTAAGCAACCAACGGAAGATAACAGCCAGTTTTTTTTTCTCTATTCATCTCAAATCAGGGAAAAAGAGAGCAGCACAGAATACAATAAAAAATACGAAAAAAGGGAACTAAAACCATATAAAACCTAACATGTACTCAGCTGCTAGACATCTACGACTGAAATGGAGATCAAACACCAAACAAAAGTGTGGATAATTGAGGTTGATTCTTAATGTATTGAGAGAATTTCCACTTTTGTTTCCTTGTAAACGGAAGAAAAAACATACCCTGAAGGCGATACATTTGCAAAAAAAAAAAAACTATCGAAAGCGAGCGTTTGTCCTAATACAGCAGCAAAACTCGAGTAATCTTTACACAAGAGGGTGTGTCGTGTGGTTGCTACTAATGAATCACTCTAAAGCGAAATCCTGAGGGAAAACAATGAATTCAACGCAATTGTTCAGCTCGTTGTAAACTAAGAATGAATAACGGAGGACGTAGCTAAAAACTATCACCAGAAGCCTATTAGTAAAAAAAGCTGAAAAAATTGAAATGTAACAAAAACCAGAATCAAGTAGCACAATTCGTTTCTTTGCAATATTTCCTAATCCATTTCATTGGGTTTTTTTCTGTCAAAAGGGTAAAAATTCCAAGTCTCGCTTTTTCTTACAAAAGGAACAGTGATGGTCCTGAGCTACGAGTGGCTTCGTTTGAGAATCCCGGATATGAAACCGGAATAGGATTTGCGACACATGGTGATGATCTATACCAAGATCTACCTCCGCCGGTTGTTCTATCCCCGTACGAGGATCTCAATGACTATGGCGCTGTTAGCAATCCTATGTACTCTGAATTTGGCGCCGACCATGAAGCTTCGGTTAGGAGGTCTAATTTCGGTACAAGTTTGTTCAGCAGCCATGGGAAAGAAACCGAGATTGGAGCGAATGATGCTAAAAAAAGCAATGGAAGTATGGCAGTAAATAAGATCTCTTTGAAAGATAACAGTGTGGTCAAAATGAAACATGATGGCAAGGAGACTAGTACAAACCAGGGGCGTGAAAACAAAGGCCAAACCGTTCTTGTTTTAGAAGACGGCGAAGAGATTAACAAGGCGTCTGAGCTATGAATTACACTGGTTTAAAAATGCTGCGAAATACGTAGCAAAGCCCATAATTTACATTTCACAAAATTGAACAAACTCCTAACATGGTTTCCATCCAAAAATATGGACTTTTTAATAACAAACAAAACCATAAAATAATTTCGCTAAACCTCGCCCTTTCGTTATTGTGTGTTGCAATTAGAGCTAACTAGATCTTTTAGAAAAATATAATTAAAAATGTGAAACTAGAGTAAGAATCGTAAAACCGCTGTGTTCTCGTACAATAATGAATTGAAGGCCGCCTTGGATTTTCTTTTGGTGCGAACCTCCACATTCATTGCTTACTGAACTTATATTGTTACAGTTTCTCACAATTATGATATGTAGGAATGAAAACGTACACGGATTTCGTAACTCAAATTTTTGTATTGTCAATAAATCAAAAGAATATGCGAAATCTGTAGTCTCTGCATTTTTCCGAAAAGTTATTTAAAGTAATGATAATGCTCTCATACCTAAAATATCGGAATGATAGTGGAATCATAAATGCTTGAGTGACTCCTCAGAAGAAAAGTTATCGAACAAATTTCAAACTCTTCCTTAAATGTTTTCTACCAAGGTCTGTTTCGAAAAATACAACGAAAAAGATAGGTCACCGTTCTTGTTTGAGAGACATGATAAGCCAAACCTACCCCACTTATGCCTGTTCTAGCACTAATCACGCGCGACATTTCATCTGTTGACGATACATTTTGCAGTGGTTAGCAGTTAGCAGCAGGCGTTTTTAAAGTAACACTTAGAAAACTTGGTTGATAAAAAGTCTCGAGCGTATGGAACAATTTTATGTATAATTTGTGGAAAATCACGCCATTTTTAAACAAAATCGACTCGAAACGTTCTCCGGGTCGTTCCTTTCATGGTCATAATTTGCATCTTCGCGTAACAGGCTTCGTGCAGGCTTCTAGCTTTCTTTTTTTCCCTTCGATGATTTTTTTAATGATTTCTCCAATTTAAAGGGGATGATTTGTACGCCAAATTTATGCAATAAAAAAATGTGGGCCACCGTGCTCGTTCAAATGCTAAAGATCATCCTACCTCTTGACCTGGTCAATTTATTGAAAAACAATTGCGCGCACGCTTATTCGCCCGACTGAGTGATTTTTATGCGCAGTACAGTATACGCAGTGCAATATTGAGGAATAACCTTCAGTGCACGTATATACATAAACCCACAACTTGTACCAAAGGCCCAAACTGTTAAGATCGATGTTGAATTCAACGAAATTTCAGTCTAACCTAACCAATCATATTTTTCATTGTAAGTCTGATGAAGCGTAAATCACTTCTGAGGAATGAAAAGTTTACAAATAGTGCACTTAAAAGCTTTCAATATGCTTTGCTTTTAAATGGTTTCAGACGTTTGTAGTTATCGACATAGTTTCTGGTCTAAAAACAGAAAAAAAAAAAAAAAAAAAACTGGAGTCTATCCCTGTAGAATAGGATGCAGGGCCCTCGCATGAGACAAAGCCTTTCTTTTTTATTTGTACATGACAACATTCCATATTTTTTTTAGACCGACTGATGCGGCCTTGTGGCACTGGTTTAAGTTCACCTGAAGGTTGTTTCTTGAGGAGAACAGCTCAGTCCCGGCACTCCGTAATCGCCAGCATCAGCAGATACGAAAGTTTGAAGCTCAGGGTTTTAAATTGATAGGACACCTTCGGAGGCCCGTTCTTGCTTCAGATAGTTAAATAGAGCGTTTTGTCGGACGTGTATGTTTTATGATTCAAGTGGCATACTTGGTGAGTATGTCCTCGTTTACTTTCCTCTTTTGTTCCATTTTTTTTTCGAAACTCGTAGTATGGCTACACTTTCTACCCGGTAACTTCATGAGGTTCTAGAAAGTTGACGTTAGCCTGAACTTTGGAAGGTTCTTTGTGTGACCCACATATAAACCTCCTTACAAACTCAAGCCTCGAAACTGAGACCAGACAGTGTGCTAGGTTCAGGGTTATCCCTTATTGTACGAGGCGATCCAGAAAAGCGCGTAACCTCTCGTTTTGTACTACTTTTGTATGGCCCACCACAAGGATGTCATCGAAGAGGAATTTCACATCATGCGGGCAGGCCCCTTTCGATAACCGCTTGAACATAAATCTACAAAAGGGGATGATAAATGTAGTCAGCCTCCGGGTGTCTGGATCTAGGAGTACTTAATTGATGGAACCCAGAGTATGCAGACTTAACATCTTACTTCAAGTACACTGCGCTTACCTCTGTAATTCCAGCGTGCTTTCCATGGTTGACATTTGGCCCAGCTCTCTTTCAGTAATAGCTTGGTTCAACTTTCTCAAATTTACACACACTCTAATGTCTTCGTTTGGTTTAGGAACAACAAAAATTGGTGAACCAATCGGTTAGTTCCTCTGAACATGCTCTTTGGCAACAAGGAGTGCCAAACAAGTGATCTCCTTCTCTAGCACCCCGAGAAAAGGCTGATGAACTCGTCGAGACGATGTGAGGCAAAAACCCTTTAAGCTCTCCTCTCCGACTCCAGGGGGGAGCAACGGAAACTAGCTAAGAGCTCAATCACAGTAATCAAGTCGGTTTTAGTTCTAAAGGACTAGATTAAAAATAACATAACCAGACATTGACAAATAAAAACAAAAAGGATTTTAATATCTATTTTAACGTAATGTAAAACACTATTAAATGAACATAGCTTTTTCTTAGAGAAAAACAAAAACCCCTAAGCAAAAATAATAAAATTTGTCAATACCTCAAGTATTTGAAATCTCTTTTTTCAACCAGTCTTCAAGAATGGTTGCAACATCATCTCTATCCATATCATCCTCTCTAAGAAACTCTATGAGCTTCTCCACAGTTGCCTCACGCTTAACAGACCACATGTCAAGAAGATCATGGGTAGGATTTGCTGACCGTTTTAAATTTTTTATTACATCTTGATCAAATCCCATTTTCTCTCCAAGTAAGCGATAATCATTAAAATAATAATTATCTTCTACATTAAGTTTAAGACAGATTTTACTCTTCACTTTAATTGGAATGTCTGCGACTTTAAAAGATCGCCCAGTGGCAGTCACTTTAGCCTGATCTGCATTTGAATCATTATCGTTGGCACTTTTTAGGTCTGCTACGGCATTATCCATCTGATTCATTCCACTGCCCTCTTTGTTGATCTTCTTGTTAGCCTCAACGCCTGGCCTTTCATCCTCCACTATGTTACATTCATCTATAAACAGGAAAGGAACCAAGAATAGGTTGCCCTCTTTGTTGTTAATGGAGAAAAAAACATTCGTAACCACCACTAATGAACACAACCTTTTTTTTAGGCTTGCTTAGGGGGAATATATAAACTTTAATTTAATTTATACAGGCTCACACGAATACACACACAGACAACACCCACAAATTGTGATAACGAGTTAAACCTACATAGCTAGGGATATATTATTTAAACAATCAAACAATGGCCATTGAAAAGTGATTACTATAAATCATAAAATTTGCACTTCGCGGAAAAAAAGCACAATTGACATCGTAATTTACAGACTCAACACCTTACATTAAAAAGTTTAGTTTCCTTGCATCGCCGCTAGAAGACCATGTCTCATGTTACTAGCAGCAGAGGTAAGGAGGACATTTTATTGAGCGGCATACCTTGGGCAATACAAGGAACAATGTTTCACTGATTCAGAGTCAACACCGCAGTCGCAAATAGGCGACGCAAAACTATAAATTTTGAAGCCTTTTTCCCCAAGACTAGAAAACCCAAGTCAAAGGTTGTTGTGATCAAAAGATACACACCTTGAAAAATAACAATCGTGTAACCTACTGTAAGTATTTCTCCTGACCAAGTACAATTCTCCTATTTGATGTTGAAAACTAGATATGATATATAAATGTATTCAACTTAACCATTTAGGATAGTGCTGCATAGGCCATATTGCTCTTGCAGCATTAGGAGAGGTAAACTTCAATTAATCATTCCCTTTTTTCTCCAAAGCTGACATGATGTGTTTTGACACTTTCAGTAGGGAGGTATCCAAAGTTTTATGATATAAAGTCACGTAAAGAGCAGGTGTTGTTAGACGGCAATTCATTGGTTGACATCCTTGAGCTAATACATCATTAGATGGTGGTGGGTGTATTTTTCAAACATTTTACCTGGTTCACTTTTACTGAATGAAGAATTGCTGCCATTTAGAGGCATATCATCTTCTGATCCTCTTGCGCTTGTGCTTGTGCTGGGGAGACCATCCTGGACAGATCTCCCAGTCATGTGGGTTGGACCACAAGCTGTCAAAACAATCATGTAAGAAAAAATTTTTTTTTCTACACCTAAAAAGTTCCTCCTCATATCCTTTTCTATTTGTGGGGGTCAAAAAAGTAAGCAAGGAATTGTTTAATGTGGAAACAAAAACAAGCATCAAGACATCATCAGTGAGGAAGTTAAAATTTTTTTCTGATTGCTGGGTTGATCAGTTCAAAGTTTAAACTTATGGTGACAACACAGGGCCCAGCCGGAAAACACGGGCTGAATTTACTAGAAAACAGGGAAATCATGATATCCCATATGCAGAAAGAAAGGGGAAGGAGTAGAAAAAGTATGAAATTAATGATGATTCTAGCGCCCCATTACGCATGTGTCGATTAACACCGGAATTCTTAATGAATTACACACTTTGTCCTTGTTGAAGTCGCCATAAAAACCTCTCATCATCCTCAGTGTGTAATCTCAAGCCCAGAGCCATTTGGATCTTAGCTGGAAGAATTTTAGCCAAGTTAAGCCTTAATCCTCTAAGATATTTGCGAAGGGAAATGCAATTTCAGACTTTCAAGTTAAGTTATGTTGCCAATTGAAACATACAGAGATTGGTGTTATCAAATGAGAATGAGGCAGAGGTAAGAGTTCCATTCTATGTAACGAAGGAGGAAATTGAACAGCCCAGCATTGGTTATAATGTCATAGAGCTAATGGTCAAGAACACTGAAGGCGAGGTGGATGGGGAAAAATTACCAGGAAGGACGATGAAAAGCTTTCACCAAAGTAGAGATAGTGACATACAAGCCTTGATAAGCATCATACGTGCTACTAATTCTGATGAGCTTTGCTTTGTTAAATCCGCTAAGAAGGCACATACTATCCCTACTGGACAGACTATTCGTTTACCTTGTCGTGCCAACACTGGACCAATTCACCGCAAGACGCCGGTAATATTTGAACCAGATGAGCTGGCTACCTGGCCTTCAGGATTAGAAGTACATGAATCCCTTACAACGATGAAGGAAGGTGATGTTACCATATTATCCATCAACGTGACCAACAACACCAATCACGACATCTCTCTACCCAGAAGAGTGGTCCTGGGCCGCCTTCGGTTAGTTCGCTCGGTGACTCCTGTTGAAGTGAGATTCAAGAATACAGAGACGCAGACTCCAGACAAGGAGCTGCCCTGCGAAGAACATAAACTAACTGAGAAAATTGAGAGTAACTTGTCTTAGTTACCAGAAGTTGATTTGAGTGGACTGACAGCAGAACAAAAGGAGTAAGCAAAGCAGTTGTTGTTGGAAGAAGCAGATGCATTTGCGATGAGTGACAATGATGTTGGCTGCATCTCAGAGCTAGAAATGGATATTTAAGATGACTAGTGACCAGCCAGTTCAGAAGAATTACCTTTCCCTACCCCGTCCGTTTTATCCAGAAGTTAAGACTATATTGAGGACCTGCTTAACCGAGGTTTTCTTCAGGAAGTCTACATCCCCATTCTCAAGTGGTGTTGTATGTGTCCGTAAGAGAGATGGTGGAATGAGACTATGTATAGATTACCGAGAATTAAATAAGAAAACTGTGCCAGACCGTCACACGATTCCTCGTATCCAGGAAGCTTTGGACATTTTGGGGGGCAAGTCGTGGTTTAGTGTCCTGGACCAAGGCAAAGCCTACCACCAGGGATTCATGGGAAAGTACTGTCAACCATTGACTGCCCTTGTCACACCGTGGGGGCTATAAGAATGGGTTCGGATACCCTTCAGACTGATGAATGCGCAAGCAAATTTTAAGAGATTTATGGAGAACTGCCTCAGGGAGCTCCGCGACGAGATATGTATTCCTTACTTGGATGATGTAATACTATTCTCAGTGACATTTTCTTAACACATTGAACACCTTCGTAAAGTTCTCTTTCGCTTGAAGAGTTATGGTGTAAAGTTAAAATCTAGAAGGTGTGCATTTTTCAAACGTGAAGTGCCTTTCCTTGGAAGAGTTATCTCTCAGGATGGGTACCAAATAGATCCCAAAGCCACATGTGCAGCGATTGCAATGAAGAACTCAAGACCATGAACAGTCTTGGTGTGTACCGTCGTCATATCAAAACGTTTGCACAAACAGCAAAACCCATTTATGATCTTCTCAGCCTTGACCTGTGAAAGAAGAAGAATGTCACCTCCACTAAACATAGTCCAAGGGGAAACAGTGGGCAAATATCATCTTCATCACCAGTGGAGTGGGAGACCCAGCACCAGTCAGCATTAGAGGTCTTAATAGATCACATAACGTCACCCCCTGTGCTGGCGTACCCAGATTACGATGCAGCATTTATAGTACATACTGATGCGTCACAGGATGGCCTAGGTGCGGTTTTGTACCAAGAACAGAATGGCTCTACGCGAGTAATCGCCTACGCATCAAGAACCCTGACTCCATCAGAACGCAACTATCATATGCATTCAGGCAAGCTGGAATTCCTGTCCTTGAAATGGGCAGTGACAGAACAGTTCAGGGATTACCTCTACTACGCCCCTGAATTTGTGGTATACACAGACAACAATCCCTTAACTTATGTGTTAACGTCTGCCAAACTAAATGCCACATGATTGAGTGGGTTGGAGAGCTCGCGGACTTCAACTTTGAAATACGGTAATGACCAGGCAAGTTGAACACTGATGCTGACAGTCTTTCCAGGATACCTGCTGACTTCAAGAACTACATGGATAGTTGTACTGAGAATAGTTCCTGAGAGCTTGCAGGCCTCAATCTGTGGAATTCAGACATTGTCAAGTGGGGACTCAATTTGGTTGATGGCCCTGACTGATGACGACGGGGAGCTCCATCAGGTAGACATTCCGTCACAAGCAGGCTGCAATCAAGTAAAAGTGGTGGATATAGTGAGAGCACAGAAAGAAGAACCTCACATTGGGCGCGTCCTGAAAGTCATCAAAGCAAACCAGAAGCCGACAGTTGGGCAGAAACAAAAAGAATCGCCGTTGGTTCGAAAGCTCCTGAATGAGTGGCACAAACTTCATGAAGACAAGAAGAGTAGCATCCTGCATCGTAATCAGAAGATAGTTCTACCACACCGTATACCGTGAACTCCATAAAGAAATAGGTCATCCTGGTGTCGAGAGGGTGCTAGCGTTGGCTCTTGAGAGATTTTATTGGCCTTACATGAGCAGGGATATAGACAACTTTATCCATCATACATGCCGCTGTCTGAAACAGAGACGCCCAAATCTACCAACAAGAGAGCCATTACAGCCAATTGTCACAACAGCTCCTCTTCAAATACTCTCCATTGACTTTGTACGCCTAGAACGGAGTTCAGGTGGCCACAAGTACATTCTGGTTGTGGTAGATCACTTTACTAAATATATGCTCAAGCATACCCAACGAAGAACAAAACCGCCGTTACTGCTGCAGACAGAATCTTCAATGACTTTATCCCGCGTTTTGGATTTCCAGAGAAACTCCATCATGACATGGGAGGGGAGTTTGAAAATCATTTGTTCGAGCTGTTAGAGGAATTTTCCTGGAGTTATGCATTCTAGAACTACCCCGTATCACCCACGAGGGAACAGTTTGGTCGAACGGATGAATCGCACGCTACTAAATATGCCGCGAACTCTCCCTGAAACTCACAAATCCAGTTGGAAGGACCATGTAAACAAGCTCATTCATGCATATAATTACACTGTTCATGAGTCAACAGGTTATTCTCCGTTTTTCCTGTTGTTTGGTCGAAGCCCACGACTACCAATTGATGCAATCTTTGACCCCCAACCAGAAACAGGAGCCAGATCACATGCTGAGTATGTGACTAAGTGGAAGACTGCCATGCAAGAAGCTTACTCACTCGCATTGAAATCTGCCACGAAAAGTGCCATTAGAGGAAAAAGGAATTACGACAAACGAGTGAGATCTTCAGCACTGCAAGTGGGAGATCGTGTCCTAGTCTGCAACCTCACCCCTCGCAGTGGACCTGGAAAACTCCGTGCCTTCTGGGAAGATGAGATTCAGGTGGTGATTGCAAGAAAAGGTGAGGGAAGCCCTGTGTATGACGTGAGATCAGAATCAGGCCAGAGACAGAGTCGTACTTGACATCGAAACCTGTTACTTCCTTGTGACCATCTTCCGTCTAAACAGTGGCAGGAGCTTCCTTCTGTAAGGAAACCGAGACCACCAACACTTCATCATTGCGATGACGGTCAGCAGCTGATGTAGGATGAGCATAGCTATGGAAGTGACAGCGATGATGACCTTCCCGACATCTCACACCATTACCTATCACCAGGAAATGATGGCAATGATCAATCCCAGATACAGGTACAGTCTGCAAGCAAAGAAGCAGTCGGAGCAGAACCAAACCCCCCAAAATGTCAATTCTGATGGGGTGTCAGGCCAAATTGAGGTAAGTGCTATCATCACTGATTCTCCTGATGAAGTACCAGCGACTGAAAACCCTCAAGCCATTGATGGAGAAACAAGCATGGAAGAGGATGCTAGTAACCGAGGTCGCCCTCAGCGGGCAAGACAAGGACCCAAACGACAAACATCTGACAGTCTTGGGAACCCAACTTACGTACGAGAGATTAATGCAGGACCACCTACCGAGATAAACCAGGTTGGAATACCATCGCAAGTACCCTATATACCTGCGCCACCAGTAAACCAGTACGGTATGCTGCCACCACCAATGACCGGTTTCACCCCACCTGCAGTACCCATGATGTTCTGGAGGGCAAATACGATGATGCCGTATGGGATGCCCTATCCAGCAGTGCTTCAGTTACCACAATGGGAAATGCCACATTAGCCATTCCAGTACAGACCGACAATAACCCGTGTACTACATTCTTGTTGCTCAGAGAACTTAGAAGCAAAAATGTAGTTTTCTTTTGTGTATTTTAACATTCGTTTCATGAATGCTGAGAGAACTATCCAGAGATGGTCTTTGTGATACAGAATCGTGAACAGAGGTATGGTCAGATGAACTGTGATAGTTGGTGGTCTGTAAGGAGCTGGGCCTGATCACTCTAGGATTTATGTGTTGAACAATCCTAATACACAAGCCACTGTTGTAGAGGAATATTTTGTATTACATGCTAAATGTCACGAATGACATTTCTTTTTCAGGTTAGGGGGGAAGTGTTGGGTAGTGAAATCACGTTGTTTCCTAGAGGAATTTATGTTAAGTGTCAGGCGTTCGCGCGGAAAGGACTGGACATCCTGGTAGATGTCATATGACGTAAGAAAAAAACATGTGCTGGAGAGAACCGAGCAATAAAAAAGTTGTTAGGATAATCTTATGTTCAGTTGGTAACGAATACACGTGGAAAACCTAAAATCGTGTGGGTATTGTGTAACTTAACACCAGATGCGCCACAATCTTCACCGGTTTCTTAAGCTCCACGTTTTGTGTTAGGGCAGGGTAACTGCGTGGACGTATGCTTTTCTTTCCGAACAGAATCCCGATTGACTCCACCATGCTGCAGTCCTCCTGTCCCCTTATTTGAGAGGCTCTCTTGTATTGCAAAGTTATTTACAGAATTCCTATTATTCGACAAACCTAGACAGTAGTTGTTGTCAAGTTTCTTCCCTGTTTTATCTGTATTTTACCTGTATTTTGGTCACCGTTATTGATAGCTACATCTTGGCTAAAGTGTAGCTCTTGGCCTGGGTCCCTATCGCCGTGTTCCACCTTACCCATCACATGGGTTTGTTCATCACCTACGCCATTATACCGCCTAGAAGTAAACAGAGCTAAATATGAGTCAAGTAATTAAATAAACTATACTACTGACTCAATTAAAGACAAAAATGAATTGAAACAGCCGTTGAAATTGAACTGCAGAGGCACCGATCATTATAAGGATATCATTTTATAAGTAAGTGAAGTCCACTAACGTAGACAAAAGCTATATTTATCTACAATCAATTCCAAAGGAAGTGAATTTCAAATTTGACTGGTAGTATAAACAGATGAATGAGAAATGACTGAATAATTCAAATATAATTTCATACCTGAAATTAAGAGATCCTCGCAGCTAAGAAGACTACTGAAACGAGTAGTTGTAAATAGGAACTGCTACCAGCTCCCAGTTGGCTTGTTAGCTCAATTGGTAGAGCGCTGCACCGGTATCGCAGAGGTCATGGGTTCAAATCCCGTACGGGCCTGAAAAATTTTTTTCAGGTCCTACTTACAACTATTAGTTTCAGTAGTGTTCTTAGCTGCGAGGATCTTCTAATTTCATCTTTCCACCGCAGTGCAAATATGTGAATTTTCATATATCTAAATCTTCATTCATTCGGATGTTTATTTGTACCCAATTCATTGACCAGCTCCCAGTTGGCTTGTTAGCTCAATTGGTAGAGCGCTGCACCGGTATCGCAGAGGTCATGGGTTCAAATCCCGTACGGGCCTGAAAAAATTTTTTTCAGGTCCTACTTACAACTACTAGTTTCAGTAGTGTTCTTAGCTGCGAGGATCTTCTAATTTCATGACCTGGTCCTATTTACAACTACTCGTTTCAGTAGTCTTCTTAGTTGCGAGGATCTCTTAATTTCATCTCTCCACCGCAGTGCAAATATATGAATTTTCATATATCTAAAATCATCATTAATTTCATACTTTTTGCGCCAGATAAATACGCCAGCGATAATGATAACGATAACGATTCCACTTGTGACTGTTCCTGCTGTTGTTGAATCAATGGTTCCCTTTTTCGACGACACTCCTTTGGTAACCTCCTCTCCATTGATATCCTTGGGGAGTTCCGTATAATTACAAAAATTTTCGAATGATGGAGGGTTACAGTTTACATATATAACCTTGTATCCACCTAAATGTTTGCTGATATAGTAGACACTCTTTTGCACGATATAATCCAAAGTGCTGTTTTTTATTACCATACGGTATGAATTGGATTGGGTTCGAAGAATGAGTGAAAAAACAACTTCAGTATGATTCAGAACTGAAGACTCTCCGGGTTGCTTTAGGACTCTGATCTGAGCTGAACTGGCGTTGGAATCATTTGGTAAGATGCTGCATAACTGCTTTTCAATGGTTGTGTTTCTGTCGAGAAGGAAAGGATATCTCGATGTTTTACATATCTTATGCTAAAGCATGATCATGTGGTGGTTGCACATTGCTTTACATTCAAGTTCCACATTCAGGTGCACTGAGTCAGAGCAGTCAAGCACACTTGGTCACTGTGTTGGGTTCCCCCTGCCTCCTAGTCAAGTGAGGCAGTCACTTTAATTCGTCCATACCGGAAATAGCTTTAATGCTTCCTTTTTTCTAATTATCAATGGTGTTTTCGCTCTGATGGGCATGCCTTCCCATGTTGGGTTTCCATAAATATTACTATATAGCAAGAAAATTTCAAACTTCAACGGTAATATACCAAAACGGGAATCATTTCATTTCCACAAACAGTGTTTGCAATACCTTGATTTGCAACTGCATGTATCCTCATAGCAGTAGTCTCTTATCCCTTTCACGACTGCTTGTTTAAATTTCTCTTCCTCCCACTGATAGACATATTTTAATACATTCTTATAAGTTATTAAAATAGACAAAAAGGAGTAAGTTCTTCAACCTACTTATCTTATTATAATATCGATACTTCGTCCTTTAGTCAGTAAACCCCTTGACTGCCCAACCTTAAGGGACTCTGCTTAGGAGTTATGTGCCCAACAGACCGTGCCTGGAGTATTTAGGCTAAAACCGCTTAGTAAAGCTGGGAATGACCTCTCATGTGATGACTTTTGGATCACCCCTCAGCAGCAAAGCAAATTCCAGATAGTTCAAGGAACAGATATAGCTGCAATGGCCAGTATTACTTGTAACAGTATCATAGAAGTCCAAAAGAGCAGACAATTGTGTTCGAGCGAAAGCAAAAGACACCAGCCATTAATTTTTCGCTGGGAGCGGGAGATGGGGGTGAGGGTCAGAGGATTTCCTTTTTGTTGCGATGAAATGTACTTCAAAAGAAAATTAAAATACCTCTTCCATTTTCATTTCCAATGTAATACTGACAGCCACCAGATCTATTTAAAAAGAAGTTTGATTTGGCTAATTACAACTGGTGAACCAATATCTTTGTGGGTAATGCAGTGATAATTGATGGTTCAAAAATGTTTGTTTTGTTCTTTTATTTTCAAAGAAAATAGTCGAGTGTCGACTTTGAGTGCCCCTTGGCTACTAAAAAATGTTCTCTTATACTTGTGACTGAAGGTGTATTGCTGTCTTTTCCTGCAGCTTTTTAGAAATGTATGCCATGAAACATTCTTCTACATGGAAATTTAAAACACGTTTTCCTGAACTGATTGTACGAAAAAAAAATTAAATTGTTCCACATTGAGGATTTTATTGTACACGACTAAATTTATCTTGAAAATAGTTCCAAGTCTCCTTTAAAGTGTTTATAGTTTAAAGTTTCATATAGGGTTAAATTAAAAAATCGAAGTAGGAAGAACAACAAACAATTTTTACTTACTTAGAGGTTGCCTTGATCCGTCTGATACGGTAATTCCATGTATTTCAGGGAAAGACAGGTCGAGATTTCCAAGATATTCAAGGTTTGTTTTGTCCACCAGCCGAATTTTTTTTGCTCTGTTATCAGACAAGTAGACAGTCCCGTTGTGAAGTGTTATAGCGACCAGATGACTGTTAGTTATCTTTTTTGATAGTTTTTGATTGCGTCCGTCCAGATCAGCTCTACCGACCACACCCGGACCAGCGTCGACCCAATAAATTACGCTCTCTGAATCAGCGTAGTCTACTATTACGCCATTTACCCACTGCAAAGGGAAACTGGAACTCGCTTCTACAATGGTGACCCTTTCCTTCCCGTCTAAGGTGGCTCTCTCAATTTTAGGATTTGAACCCCAATCTGTCCAGAAAATGTACCTGTAAGATTTGATTCATTAATTTTGTGTTATTCCTCTTGACAGCAATTAATTTCAGGGTGTTAATATTAGAAAAAAGGACCTGATTATTTAACGAAGAGCAGTAAATTGTTAATAATTGTCAAGGCGATTGGCTAACCTATCCTGCTGAGAGGCAGTTACGGTTCTGTATCATTAGAACTCTCATTTTTTAATAAAAAAATAACCAAAATTTCAAGGGCATGCTAGAAAAATGCGTCACGTCGGGAGTCAGGTGATACTTTATTATTTTGCCCATCTGGTTGCGAAGAGACGACTTTTGCAGCAACTCTCTCACGCCATTAGAGCAAATTGTACAAAACATGTAACAGAGAAACGTGATTCACCACTAATGAAAAAAGTGCACTTTGGATGATTTCACGTCTTCAATGCTATACCCTGAAGCGTTGAGAACACCGTCCTAAGGAAGTGGTTGAACAAAAAAAGAAATAACAAAGAAAAAGAATTAAAAAAGGTCTATCCTAAGTGTCAAAATTAGACGTTTCCTAGTTATATCGAGCTTCTCAGTTCGTAAGTTGTGATTTCAATACTTAAAGTACATATAACTTCTCCTTACTCACCCATTGACCGAATCAACAGCAATACCTCGAGGCTTGTCAATGTCTCGGTCAAACAGTATCTTTCTGTCACTTCCGTCAACCTTCGCCATTTCTATTCGGTTGTTTCTTGTGTCCGTCCAAAATATGTCTTTGCTAATCCAGTCTATAGCTATTCCTCCCACTTTACCGACGCCTTTCGTCACATTTTCTTTAATGTTCGTCTGAAGATCCATTCTTTTGATGGTACCACCCCAAGAGTCACTCCAATAGATATAATTGTCCTCTACGTCCATTGCAACGACAATGACCTTTCCAATATCTTGCACTACAACACTAGAAGCGGTTTTCCCAGCGGACAGGTTGATACTATTTATGGTATTCCCAACACTATAGTACAAGCATGGCCCTTCACACGCTGTGAGGAGAGGAGAATAGCTAATTCAAAAATTCCACAAGATAACTGGTGAATGGGAAGCAGTACAGTAGAGAAAAACAAGAGAAATTAGCATCTGCCAGATCAAATCGAACAGTTAAAATAGAAAGGGCGTTGTACTGATTAATTTCAATCACTTCCTTTACGATAGTTAACAATTACTACGCTAAGCCTCCTTATTGTGCAGGTGTGCTCTTAAATATTCCTTTCCTCCGTAAAGGTTTGTAAGTCAGTAACACAGTGAATCAGTGCAGTTACCAAAACACATTTTGCGACGAAGATTGACGAAATCGGTTGACAATTCAGGTTAAAACGATGAAGTAACTTACCATGGATGATTTTACAAAGACGCCATAATAGGAGAATTAAAAATAACTTCAATCCCTTCATCCTGAATGCCAGGGTTAATTCCTGCTTCTGTAAAGTGAAATATAATTTGCTAGATTAGAAACGCTAGATTGGCAACGTCAAAAGAAAACAGAAAAGAAGAACACGGCTGGTTCAAAGAATGTAGACTGCGGTACTGTGTTGTTTTGACTTGTCATAAATTCCTATTAGCGTTAAGTTAGTCTCCTTTGCGGCCATAATTTGGTTACGTCACGTGACGCGTTGCGTGACTAACGCAGGGTAATTGCATTTAAATTAAAGAAAAAACAATGAAGGAAACAGGCGAATATGTATGTTATCTCTTGATGCTAGTTAAATGTAGCGAGAATGGACTGATTTTGTTTGAAATGGTGAAAATTTCCGGCATTTAGTCCATTCGAGAGTGTGCCCGACAGTCGGGTCAGAAGAATAGTCAACCGAACGATATTAAAGTATACACAGGCTAGGAGAGTTCTTCCACTTCAAAACCAAATTAATTTTTGGAATCGATTGACATTTTTTAAACAAACATTTGATACTTTTAAGAAGTTTGAAAGAAAATTTTCGGTGGAAATTCTGTAAAAACTGCTGACTGCCGCGCATTTGTGACCCTCCACGGGATTTCAGGGAACAAGGTGAACGCACGCACACGGTACACCAGCGCGCACGCTACAACAAAAGAACGAGCTTTCAACACGTTAGTTGCTTGTAAGTTACTTGCCTCATTAAATTCGCAGCTATTGTCTTGCTTCGCACGGTAGAAACAAAGAAACGTGTTAAGATCCTTGCTTGCAACTTTGCACGATATATCACGATGACCGTGCCAATTTTATAACACGCCCCTTAAAGTTAAAGTTGCTTCCAACACCCGAAGAAGTACGTCCAAAGCTTTATGGCTTTTTAGCTCACTGATACGCCCGGCCGATATCCAGTGCAAACTAATTCGTCAAACACAATGGAATATCTCGACTTGTTGTCCATCATTTAAAACTTTATTTGAGTTGCTTCCTTCATTATCGAATTCCTCATTTTCTTAAAACAGCTTGCAAAACACGGGCCGAACGAGCAAGGTCCTTTGCTCTTGAAATCGTGCATGAACTTTTGAAGGTAGCAAGCACAACCTTTTTAAAATAATAAGAGCGAACCTTTATGATGCAAAGCAAATGGCTACTTCGATGAGGGTAAACAGTGTTCTCACCGTGTTTGTCTGTTCTGCTAGTCTCCGAGGCATTAGTTATTTACATTGTTAAATTTGTAAACCGAAAAGTACGTCAGTCCGTGGGGTGCAGTAGTAGCGTCATCTTTTTTTTTTCTTTATACTGACAGAGTTTACAAAATAATAAAATATCTACTGTACTTTTCTTTTATTAACTGACAGTCTATTTGCCAATTTTTATGCGCTATAGATTCCTTTGACTGTCGTCATCTAACCTGTTTGTAAATGCATTAATTTGGGCAGATAAATGATTTTTTAGTCTGTGTTTATGCTTTTTTGTTCCCTTAATAATTAGCAACGTTCATAATTTAATTATGCTAGGATTAGCCAAAATCATAGAAACTTAGATCGCGGTTTTGTTGAAAAATGGCTAAACTCTGTTCAATTAACCGACCCATAATTTTTTATGTTAAATGATGGACTAATCGTGCCATCTCCGGTGTTTTCAAAACAAACCAGTTTTTTTAAGTATGTGAATAAGAGTCCTCTTTCTTGTACATTTCGTATTAATGCGAGCGGCTATCTGATTCCACTGCTCACTAAAACATGGCGAGTCAAACTGTCTTTGTAAAACAGACACAAGAAAGCCTGATTTTCCGCTATCCAACTGCTGGAAATCTTTAGTTTCCTGACGCGTTGCTCCTCGTCATCTCGTCGTCCGAGAAGAGAACATCAACAGAAGCGTTACAGTTGCGTTACGCAAGGTATAGACCTCAGTGCTGAAGACTAAGAGCTCATAATTTGCCAAGATAGGCGTACAGTAAATAATACGCAGCTTCGCTCGGAAAGCTTCGTTTTGCGCCGGCTAACTAGCGCTTATTGAATTTAAAAATGCCGGTTTGCATAAAGTGACGAACAACGACCGCGTAGGAGACATGGAGCCGGAAATCTGCTACTAAAGGATTCACAAAGATTTGGTACTTGGCTTATTAACTTCTTGAAGCGATAAGGATTTATATTTTACAAGGTAAGAATTAAGTTTTAAAAAAATAATTCACGTGATGAAACTGAGCTCCTCTGGACCTTGTGAAACGCGTCGTGCTCACTGAATTCCTTGCGAAAATCCTGAAGGAAAGAGCCGTGGTTTGCCGTGAATGTTTTCTTTTTTATTACAACTTTCGGATAGGAGAGAAGATCTTCTTCATTTTCGCTTATATTCTGTAAGTAATATATTCCACAAACACCATTCTCACAATTACGAAGCTGATAAACACAAGTAACAGAGTAAGGTGGGATGTAAAAGATAAGCTAGCGTGTTAAGGAACAAAGGAGCTTTGCGTGTTAAAAAACAAACAAACAAACAAAATCTAGCGTGTTAGAGAAACAAAGCACTACCGCGTTAGCCAAATATAAACAATGGCTACAAGACGCTTTCCAAAATCAACTGTTTTTATGCGCATATCTGCACGTAAAGCGGAAGTTTTTTGTTTAGACCGTTCAACTTCAAATTCCTAAAATGCTGTATCGTCGTGCCTAAAATAGGTCACTGTCACGTTCAGTTTGTGTACAGCCAATGAACGCCATGATGAACTAATCGATTGAATAGATTCTTCAGAAAAAGACTCACTGTAGCGGTAACTTGGAGATAGGAATTTAAAATTTTAACTAGAAGCCTGAATAATAACTCGATTCAATAACGAAAACAAAAGTTCTCGAAAGTGAATGTTAATATTCTTAGAGTTTGTAATCATATCTACTTCCGCTTAAGGGATTGCTATACTCTATTTTCTACTGAGCTAAAGTTAACAAGAGAAGGAGCAAACGAGCCATGGAAAATAAAGCTTTGCCTACATTTTACCAGGGGATAAAAATGATATTTCATGACAGGAGACCAACAATCAGGAAAATAGCGAGGCGAACAAGAGACAAATTCCATCATAAATAACTAAATATATATATGGTCCTACATATTTCGATTGAGGGGTACACTGCAGCCGAATATTTCGCTTTATTGTTTCTCTCGATAATGGGGGCAAATGGCTAGATTCATCCTTTCGGTCTAAGAAATAGCGGATATGTGTACATTTCGTAGATGTTCTTAGCAAATATTCTGTTCCACAGCGTATCATCAGATTTCACTTACCTCAGAGAATGCATTTATATATGCACTCGTTCTCTGCTAGTGGTTCGATTAAGAAGGCCGGACACTACCCAAATATATGACCAATAGTTGAACGGAGCGAGTGCGTCTCTAGTCAATCGTGACTTAGAAGGAAATACTCAAGTATGATTTGGAATGTTAGCAAAACTTGGAACGGAGAGTGGGGAGTGGGAACGGGGAGCGGGAGTCTGGGCCTGAAAGTACAGCGGTAATTCGCAAAACAACGAAAAATGGCGGATGACAACATAAACAGTTTGATTAACTCGGTCGTGAGAACAATCTTCATCGTGGACGATCAACAAGGGAAGATGTTATTAAAGGCTTTTTTTACTTGATTTTTGTGTTGAAAAATTAGGTTTTACTCAGATGTAAAATGCCGGTGCGATCGAAATCGGTTCTTCGGAGAAGGCTACATAACACTTTAAGGCATTGAACAACAAACTTATGTCAATTTAAGTAAACATTACTTTCTATGTTGATTTTAGATTCAACCTTCACTTTCATTTCTGTTGACTGACGCTTTTCTCATCTTCACCGTCATACTGTTATGTCTTCTAGCGGCACAAATCGTAAGTCCACAAGAAGGCACTGCATTGTATAGCGGATGTAGTACCTATTTTAAATTCGACTGATTCTCATATACATTCCTACAATACAATACAATACAATACAATTTATTTTATTTCGGTAACGTAGGGGGTGGTTACCCAATCCCCCGAGCCTAATGGCTCATGTTGAAAACGCTCGACAGTTAAAATACAGATGTGTATATAAATATATGTACAAGTTTATGTATATATGACGAAAAAAAGAAACGCAAAAATATCACCTAGCCCCCTACCCCTAGTCTTAATCCTGAACCTCCCCTGAAACCCTACCAGTCCTAATCACCTAACTTGTAGCCCTAACCCTGAAGCCTAATTACCAATTCATAACCCTACCCCTACAATTGTATACTAATACATTTATTACACTTACAGCCAAGCGTAGTTATCCGAGATAGGCCAGTCTTAAATTCTGCTAGAGTAGTTTCCGATATAACTGAAGATGGTAGCTGGTTCCAGGAATGAGAGATAATATATGAAAAAGACCTATGAATATGGCTAGAGGTATTTACAGGCTGGGAAACATTAAGAACAGAGGAGCGCAAATTGTAGTGACAGACCCTAGGTGTGAAAAAATTAGAGATATACGAAGCTCCCTGTAGCCTGTATACCTTGAAAAACATGATTAAAGACGCAGTAAGACGTCTTTGGATTAAGGTGTCCATACTAGCAAGCCTGAGACAGTCTTTGTTTTCAGTAGATCTACCTAGATTAAGCACAGTTCTTAACGCGTATTATTTTTCAGAGGAGTAGAGATTCCCAACAATAGAGGGGAACAATATTCTAAATGAGGTAACACATATGTTTTATACAAAGAGATCATAATAGAGGAAGGTATAAGACGCTTTATTCTGCGGAGAGCGGCGATTTTTGCATATGCCTTTTTCAGCGTAATTGTTACGTGATCTTTGAAGGAGAGTTTATTGTCCAGCGTAACGCCCAGGATCTTTAGAATCGGCTTTATGTCAATAACCTGCTGCGGGTCCACAAAGAATTCAAAATTGTAGTAACTGTTTCCAAGTACCATTGCCTGCGTTTTGGTGCTATTGATTCCTAGGTAGTTGTAAGTGAACCATTCCTTGAGTCTTGATATATCCGCATTGAGATTAAACTCCAGAGTCATAGGGCAGACGCTAGACGAGTATTGGGTAGTGTCATCCGCGTATAGACGTAGTGAGGAGGTAGCAACACAGTAATTAACATCATTGATAAAAATGTTAAAAAGTAAAGGTTCTAACAAGCTACCCTGCGGAAGCCCGCAGCGCACGGGCAGCCAGTTCGAGTAGGACTTATTGCATCTAACACGTTGGAATCTGTCAGACAGATAAGACTGTATAAGCTCCAGAACCTCCTAAGCTTAGCGAGTAGCAAATTGTAGCAAACTGAATCAAAGGCTTTGGAAAGGTCAATAGCCACTACCCCTATGCTTTCTTTCTTGTCCATTGCTGCACGCCAGTCATCAGAGAGCTTCACGAGTGCAGTGCAGCACGAGTGACCACGCAAAAAGCCTTTCCTTTCCCCATTTTCCGTTCGTGGTAGCAGCATATGATTAAATTATACAAGTTAATTTTGCATTGTCATGTACTCACTCTAAAGTCTGATTATTCATTTGATTTATTTTATTCACTTTTACTTGTAGGCATAGTTAATAAAGCGAACTGGTTGTGAAACGCGGTAAACTTCAGAGAAACGGTTATTGTCTTCTATATTCGATGTCACGCGACAATGACCGTGCACACACATACACAAAAACTCAATATAGCGTCGTTCAAAGAGTTAGACGTGAACTGACCTGTTTTTAAAGCTTCGCAATGTAGTTATTCCGACTGGAATCGTTTTCTGAGTTCGTCGTATTGAAAATAGAATGCCTGGTGACAACTATTCGGTGTTTGGTTGCGGTACGTGCCGTAGAACTAAAGGGATCGGTATCTTTAAACTGCCCTCACCACGAATTGCAGAATACAAGAAGTGGCGAGAAGAGTGGCTAAATGAGCCGACAAAGACGAGAGTCATCGACAAAGACTTCCAAAATCAGATCGATAATGGCAAGGTGTTTACATGTGAGAAACATTTCGATCCTGACGATATAGAGACATGTAAGTACTCGAGTTGTCTGTAATAAACATATCTGGTATCCATGTAAACACGACCGGCCACAAAAATGATGTCTCATTCGGGTTTGAACTTTATATTCTTATACAGATTGTTGTTACAGATCGCTTTTCTTTTATTTTTATTTCAGTTCAATCGCAAAAACAAGACCAAAGTTTGGAGCCTTGCCAACTTTCAATATGCCAAAGAGAAGTCATGACACGGTGAAACCTGTTGCACGTCCATTGAGATCTGTGGTACAAGACAAACCTGTTACAGAGAGCCACCAGAAATACTATAGAAGCTTCAGTGACCTCTGTAAACGAGTAAAAACTTTAAAAAAATAGCAGGAATGGACAGTCCAGGTACTAGAGGATAGACTTATATTACAAAAGAAAAGTGCAGTAATGCTTCCAGAATTTGAGTTGATGATTGATGATAGTCTAGGGTTTACAATTTCTGTCTATGGATGGCTCCTTTCAGAAGACCATGAGATACATACTACAAACTTAAGATCTGTTTGTAATATTACAGTGTCTGAACTTTTAAGAAATACCAACAGCCTATATATCTGTCCTGGTGTGGAACTATTTGAATTATCCAGAAATATAGTCCATCATTTAATTCCAAAGTCTATTGATCCATTGTTCATTGACAATGATGGTGATTTCAATTCATTTCCGCATAAAGAATATTGGAGAACTCATAGTTGTACGGTTTTGTTTGAACATGGTGAACAGTGTTCAAGTTGTTCACAGTATTCACATAGATCTGAACTCATTCACAGACAGCACCACAAGGAATCAAACTCACATTACAGATGCAGAGGCTCAAATATGCTGAACTCTTAGGAAGAGGAAGCCATTTCTTGCACCTTACTCATCTGTGAATGACCCAAGATTTCTCTGGTTGACAAATGACTTCCTTGGTTTTCTGAGAGACTGGAAAGATAGCATAGCTAGTTGCCCTGGTAATTTCTCTCAGAATGCCAGAAGTAAGATGTTCCTATCCTGGCAGACGTATGAGGGCTTACAGATTACTGCACATTCAGTCATAGAGGCAACAAAGTTTCTTCTAAATGAAGGTGTAGGGTATGTCTTAACAGAGAGGTTTTGTCAAGATCCCCCAGAAGAATACTTTGGGAACCAAAGGAAACTGGGAAAAAGAAATGACAATCCTGACATGAAGATGTTTGGTTATAACAACAATACCATCAGGGTACAGTGAGCTGTTACCTGTCAATCTGGAAATACACGGGGAAGAAAAGACAGAGACAAATCATGGGTCAATGTTTCAAATGACCCAGTGCCCAAGAGAAAAAAGCAGTAATAAGATTTCATAGATTACAATAATCTCAATATTTTGGCATGTGTACAATAACTGGGTTGTTACTACTATGATGAGTTATCTTTATCACAGACATAACAATGTCATAAGGTGATGCGTTCAATATAGCTCCAGTTCTGATTAAGTAATAGTGATGAAATTGAGGTACTAAATTTAGACATGAGAACAATATTATTAAAAGATGACCAACATGGTATGGATATGAAGGCTTACATTTATTCAAATACCACTATCAACAAGGACAAAAACCAGCTTTTGGTTGTTACGATATTAATAAAGCAATAGAAATGGGTCACTCTAGCCTTATATATAAGAAAACAGTATAGATATTGTTTTGTGAATAATTTTCACACAACTGCAACATTTCTCTATGATGTACATTTCATAAGTTAATGCTTCACATCTTTAAGTGGACATAGTATTTGTATCTAAATTTGCATCAATGCAAAGCATGCATGTTATTGTTCTTGGAGAGTCAAAAATACAATTTTTAACATTACAGGATGGTTGAATTTATGGACTAAATTGCCTTTCTTGATCAGATTCTTTAGAGGCTCTGCTTATGTCCTTACGAAGTGCTTTGGATTTTAACTGTTTTAATTTCATCTTGTGTTTCTGGATAATGTTGTTTGCAAAAGAGAATGAATGTACTCTGACATACATTTGTATGATGTTATGTAATACATCTTTGGCAACACCACTTTGGACTATCAGTTCAACATCAGACAACATTAAAATGTATGCTGACACTAAATCAACATCATGAATAGATCTTGATATAACACAAGAGAACTCAAGCTTTTGTAAATTAGTCTTAGAAGTGATATCCCTAAAATAGTGTTCAGTTCTCTCGAAAATTGTTTGGGCATTCTTTGTTATTGCCCATAAACCACCACGATTTAGAGATGAAGTTAACGTCTGGCTTTCTATAACATTCTGGTCTTCTGATTTCCCAGCCTTGAGTATGGAGATTGCCTGCTCACTTTCCCATGATTTACTAGTATTTGCAAGTTTCTTATGAAGTTTATAGAGAACATATCCTCCTATGTACTGTAATCCAGCTTGTTCTTCATCCGAAAGTTT